ACCATAACTGTGGCCCCCTCCTAGACAGATTCCTAAATCCGCCTCTGGCTGGGGGTTGTTATTTTCAAGGCTTTAAATTAATAAATCTGGCTGAAAAATTGATATTACATAGAAAAACTCAAAAGTCCTGTACATTGAGCATTGGGTCAATACTCTTAAATATTTTTTTATAAAGCATTTGGATCGAATTTGAAAAAATAATTACTGAATATTTTTCACTTTTTGTTAAGCTTGAAGGTTCAATATTTCGAAGTCGTCGCTACTTCACAATACCTTTGACAAATCTGATATACACTTCATGCACGGTCGGAATATCTCAAGTTATATGTACAAATGAGAGAAACCCCTATATGAATGTAGCTACCCTAGCGATAGAGTGGAGAAGGAGGTTAAAGCGGTTAAAAAGCAACGGTAAAAGCGGAAGCAGTATGCGGTCAAGCCAGCAAGCGGTAATGGTGCGATGCGATAAGCCCAAAGCGATGAACGGTTTTCAGCAATATGGATATGTTTGGATGAAGAATAAGGCCAGGCGTTTAGTTAACCCGCGTCTACTTCAAGCTCTGTTTGTCTCGTTCTCGATTGGATTTCAATCTGCACCCCAAGGAAGTAAGCACACTGCAGACAAAGATGCGCGGTCTCTGACTTGCTTCTTGAACCCCAATGATAAATTATAAAACTCCTAAAATCAAGCCGCGTACTATCGGTAATGGACCTTTACTAAACTAAACTAATAGCTCCCTCATGAATGTGTTTACCAAACCTTTAAAAAAATAATATCGGAGACGCAACATTTTGTGACACAATGACTCAACCTATAAAACATTTTTGTATATCTGGGATTTTTCTGGGATATAATGATCACAATTAGATATTGGTACGTATCTTTCTATAGTTCTGGGACCTTGAGGGACTTAAAAATATATTATATATAATATGCAAGGCCAACCAAAAAGAAAAACACCTTTTGTTTCGGCTTCCAGTTTCCTGAAACAGAACTTCACTGCGTGATTGACATTAAGGGTTAAGTCAGTACATATTCCAGACAGTCGCCAGGCGTACCGAGGTTCTACTATAGTTTGGCAAACGGATCTGCAACAGCGAAAGGAATGCGACTGAAAATATTCGATATTGCCAAATTTAACTACAAAAAAGCAATAATAATAATAAAAGTAATTTCAATGATTTGAAAATCGATTTTTCACAATTCCAAAAAATATTAATTCAAAATACTGAGAATTTTAATGGGTTGTTAGCTCTATTTGTATTTACTAACTATTTTTTACTACTGAATCGTATTATAAGTAAACATTTTTCCAAAGATCTTATCTACATCGGTTGAGCTGGCAACAACCACCCGAAAGGTATATTGGACACCGCCTAAACGAATCTGATTGGCGGATATCCTCACATGTTTTGTCGCCATGAGAAAATTCGACTCCCTATTGGGTAGCGTCCCAGACAATTTTTTGCTCCTTTCTTAGAATATCCAAACTATTGAAAAGTCCAGTGGCGTAGGTTTTATCTCCGTTAATTGTCGTGTATGAGTTTTACAACTATTATTGTTAACTATTTATTGTTCTATTAAGTTTGTATGTTTAGTGCTGTGTGTTTTTGAATAGTTTAGTGTTTTGTTATTTGATATTGTTATTCGTTTTAGTATTATTTTTTTAAAATGAACCAATTTACTCGCGGAAAAACGCTTCATAGCCAAACAAGAGAAGTGATTGCGAATGTTTATAGGTTAGTAATAATAATATGCAATAATTGTAGTTTTTGACGACTGAGTCTGAATATAAATAAAAAACAAGGAAATGCTAAGCTAACATTCTGATGATTATTTATACGTTTTGCGATGAGGAAGCGGCAAACAATTCCCTCAAGTTGCCGCTTAAACGTAAGCTTGATAGGGTGTCCCTTTATACCGGAGTCGGAGTATCTTCTGTTAGGAAAATTCATAACGAAGATAAAGAAAGACTAGAAAATAACCCGAATAAAATGTTATCCAGTCCCGGAAAAAAAAGACCGCGTCAGTCTCTTGTTGAGACAGATGAAGATTTTGATTTTCAGATTATTAGACATTTGATAAACAGATTTTATCTTGAATATAAAGTTGTCCCGACAACTAGGAAGTTATTACAAAAGTTGCGAGAAGACTCAAATTTTCCCTATTCTAGGGAAACTCTCAGGAGTTTATTAAAATCAAATGTTTTTTTTTGGCGCAAATGTCAAAATAAAAGAAAAGTTTTGATGGAGAGGCCCAATATATTGCAATGGAGGTACAAATACATCCGTGAAATACGTAGATATCGTGAAGAAGGGCGCAATATAGTTTATTTGGACGAAACCTGGGTGGACAATGACTTGACTTTCAAAAAATGCTGGCAGAGCGAAACTGTTTCTGGTGTAATAAGCAGTATAGGTTCTACAGGTAAGCAAAAATGCTATATATATGTTAAATTTAACTCTGATTTGTAACATATTATATAATCGTCTTGTATATTTTAGGTCGACTCATTATAGTGCATGCAGGTTCAGAAAATGGATTTGTTGACAATGCCTGTTTGATATTTAAGGCGGGATTAGCTACAGGCGATTACCACGGTCAGATGAATCGGGAAAATTTCACACGCTGGCTCACAGAAAAACTCCTCCCGAATATACCTGCCAATTCGGTTATAGTATTTGACAATTCTCCATATCATTCCGTCCAGGAAGATAAAACCCCGACAAAATCATCTTCGAAAAAAGATATAATGGCCTGGTTGACAAAGAAAGATACTTATGACTCAAAACATGCATGTACATATCAAACTACACAATAAAATATTTTATAGGCATAAATCATGAGGCAACTGCCAGAAAATTTGACTTGTTCGATCTGGTCTTACTTCATAAGCCCCCTGACAACCAAAAAAATTATGTAGTTGATCGGATCATAAGATCACATGGACATACTCCTCTAAGAACACCTCCTTATTTATGCGAGCTAAACCCAATAGAATTAGCTTGGGCAAAGCTTAAATTTCATATAAGAAGCCGCAATACCACTGGAAACTTCAGTTTAACCGCACTGAAAGAAGTCACTCAGGAAGCGATGTCCTTAATATCCATTAATGATTGGCAGAAATTTTGTCAACATGCTAGGGACATTGAAGATAAATTTTGGGAAAATGATCAATTTATGGAGGAAATGGAACCAGTTATAATAACTATAGGGCAAGATGACGACAGCGAAACTGATGACGACAGTGACGATGATGATAATGATGAAGTTGACGAACACCAATGCTAATTCAATAGGTGAAATGTAATTTTGAAATGCTGTATAATGTAAGTATTATTTATTACAGAGGTTATAAGTTAAACGGATATGAAATGTGTTTAAAGTTCTTTGTTTCTACTTAAGCGACACCGATGCTCTAGAAATATCCACATCAACAGTCCAAAATTGCAACAATAGGAATCCAGAAAGATGCGGATTATAAAATAAAAATTAATTCTGGTCATGTTTCGGCTTGTGGCACTTTTTAAAGTAAATGAGCATATTATAAGATCACGAATGTATAATATATATATATATATATATATATATATATATTATACTCAAGGTAAAAAACCACGTTAAGTATCTATTTGTATTTGAAAAATATATTTTATTTACGGCTTTGACAAAAACGCTAGCTTGATTTAGGTTTTAAATCGCGCAGTTATCATGATTTTTTGAATTGTGGCAATTTTGGGAAGTGAGTAGACATTTTTCCGTTTGTTGAAGTGTAGAAACAAACTCAAGTGTTTTTTTACATGGTGTAGATTGTAGAGATACAGCTATTTTTGAGTTTACCCGAGACTTTATTTATTATTATGGACAATGCTCCATATCATTGTGGGCTTATTGAGATACTCCCCAAATTTAAAGTGAAACATAAACGTATAGTTTACTAAATTTAAACCAATTATGAAATAATCCCAAACTTTTATAAAATACCGCACGCCGCTGGCATTTTATGAATGAAACCAGCCATGTTTTGCTTTCCCCTCACCGATACCCCGATGTTGCAGATCCGTTTGCCAAACTTTAGTCACTTCCGAGAACTCGGTGTCTAACTTATGTGGGAGGCGGGGATACCTAGCTCAATCGGAAATATCCTGATGTCACCGGCTTTCGCGGTTACAACCGAGTAGGGCCTGTCTCACTAGTCACTTCCCAGAACTCGGTGTCTAACTTGCGATAGAGGGGGTCGTACTCAGAGAAATTGAGAATACTGCCTGATAGATGCGGTCGGGTAAGTCGAATCACCAGTCGGATGTATAAATATGTGCAAATAATCTTGAATAAAAGCGCTTTTGTATAATGGAGGTCCCAGAGTACCGCAATTAACCAACACTAGCGCGCAGAGTCTACCTACTTGACACAGACCAAAGTAAGAGCCATAGACCAAACGGGACCGTACGGTTCGGCATTATGTCGGTATTCGGTTAGACTTGTTTCACCGGTCAGCTCTTATTTGCCAATGCTAGGTGGGCAACAGGCAACACTGCCTCAACGAATATCTCGGTTGAAGTTGACGGCCTCTGGTAGAACCCTGCAAAAACCTTTGATTTTTCACTCCAACCCGCTGCTTTGCGGATTGTATCATAGTTAAACCCCTGCACGCTTGCGGCTGAGGTAGAGGCATGTCTGGGTAGTATGTGAGCTATACTTATCTGTATCAATCCCACTTGCCCTCAGCATTGCTTTGATCCATCTACTTATGGTCTGCGTTGAGGCGCTACGAAACGTTGGCTTAGTTGTAATAAATAATTTCTCTGTGGTGCCCCTAATGGGTTTTGTTTTTTCCAAATATATCTGTACAGCTGTTGCAGGACAAATATCTTTTTCGGAATGGAAAAACGGTAGGATTAGTGTATCTTGTGGCTCGTTTCTACCAGAGGACTTGAGCCTCTTAGGTATTTTTATCTCTATCTTATCATCTACGGTAACAATGTTTTTTACTTCGATATTATGTAGAGACTGCCCTCTGCCCAGTGCAGATAGCCAGGAGTACAGCTAATTTCCGTTTCAGCTGCTCAAGAGTGATACCGTCATTAGGGAGTTTACGAGCAAGATTGAGAACCAATTCCGGATCCCATGTGTCCTCATACTTCGGAGGGTTGGGACGTATATTGTACGCACCTCTGAAAAATTTTTTCACTCGAGGATCTTGTGTAAGTTCTCCTCCAATGATATGGCCTATCGCAGCTCGATAAGAGTTCAGAGTACCGTATGAGGCTCCTTTTCCAAATACGCTTCCAAAGAAATCCATTAATGCGCTTAGAGTAGGTTTGAATAAGTCAATGTTCCTTGCCTGGCAGAACTCCCACCAGCTCCTGATGCCAGAGTTGTATTGCTTTAAGGTCGAGACCGTGACTGCGGCTAGGCAAATTTCTAACGATCCATCTGGGACGTTGCCCTGTTTAAGGCCTTGTAGGATAAGCGCCCTGCCACCAGGAAAATGTTGGGCCAAAGCGGGTGTGACCTATTATTCAGGGAGAGAAGATTATCAGCTGGTTTAAAAATTAATGGTTCTTCTGTGAGCATCGAGGAGAATATTGGGTACCACGGTCGAGCCTTCCAAAGTGGTACAACCAATATTCCCTCTGCTTTATCTCGAATAATTTTCCGTAACGTGCGAAGGACCAATGAAAAAGGCGGGAAGGCATAAAAGTATAGGCCATGCCAATTTATAGTGAATACGTCAACGGAAACACAGTGTGGGTCGCCTTGCCACGATACATATTTATCACATTTCGCGTTATCCTGTAACGCAAACAGGTCTATGTCAGGTATCCCATACCGTAAAGTTATTTTTTCGAAAGCCGTATATCTGAGTGACCAGTCCGTTTCTGTCTGGCGTATTCGCGATGCGAAATCCGATTACTTATTTTCCGCTGAAGGGATATAGGTTGCGTAAAGGAACATATTTCTGTCCTCACACCACTTCCAAAACTCTTGGGCCAGTGCACTCAATTTTGGGTATTGTATACTGCCCATTTTATTTATGTATGCCAGTGCTGTGGTGTTGTCCAGACGCAAGAGTATGTTGTAATTGGTCATTTTTCCCGCAAAGGATTTTATAGCATGGAAAGAGGCTAATAACTCAAGATAGTTGATATGGTGTTCGCGTTCTGTACTGTTTCAAAACCCAGATCTACTCTCATTATTGGCAAATGCACCCCAGCCTCTAAGGGATGAATCTGAGAAAATTTCAATGTCGTAGTTGTCCACGCGAATGGTATTTTTCGCGAACGGAAATTTCTGTAACCACTATTGAAAGTCTGGTAACAGCGAAGCATCAATTTCCATTTTGGCCTCATAGTTATTCGCTGCTTTCCTGAGAGACAAATATTTGGCCCGTTCAAAGTTTTTCGTGTATGCCCACGAATATTTGATCGCGGGGCAGCTTGCGACGATATTGCCCAGAAATTTAGCAAACTCCCTAATTTTACAACTTTTGCGTTTTGCAAATGCGTTTACAAGCTTCTGCATTTTAACCCTTTTTTCTGGTGTCAGGCTTGCCGACATGTCTGGCGAGTCATAATGCATGCCCAAATAGTCGATGTGCCTTGAAGGAACTAACTTGCTTTTGTCATAGTTAATAATAAAACCAAGATGCTCTAGAATTTTTGTTGTTTCTCGTTCGTTTCTCAGGCATTCGGAGTAAGTTTTTCCTAGCGTAAGGAAATCATCGAGATAAAGCACAGACAAATGGCCCTTGCCTCTGAGGTATGCCAATATGGGCTTCATTAGTTTGGTAAATATTAGAGGAGCACAATTTAAGCCAAATGGCATTCCAGTATATTCATAAAGCTTACGTTTAAATCTAAATCTGAGAAATTTTCTATATGAACGATGTATTGGTACCAGGCGGTATGCATCTTTAAGATCTAATTTGGCCATGAAACAATTTTGTGACATTATTTTCGCAACTGTTTTGTGGTCCTCTTACTTGAAATGTTTAACTTGAATGAAGTTGTTCAAGCGTTTCAGGTTTAAAATTACCCTATCTGAACCATCGTGCTTTTTTCGGAGAAATATATTTGAGATGTATTGCCTATTTGACGGTTTGGCCGTGCTGATTGCCCCTATGTGGTTCATTAAGCGCTATTTTAATGGTGGCTTTTTCCTTGAAAGACCATTTAGGCTCTTTTGGAAGGCATCGTTGGACTGGCTTTTGCGATAGGGGTAATTTTACCCCTTTAATCCATGACAAAATCATTCTGTCATTCGTGAACTTATGCCACTCGTGATAAAAGGAAGCTGATCTTCCAGCTATGCTAACCTTATCTACTGTCTTGGGTTCCTGGTTTTGAGTTTGCAGCTGTTCTGACTCCTCTGGTTCAGTCGACGTGGTGGCTCTCGACGTGGTTTGTTGCGGTTCGTGGAGTAACTGGGGCTCTGGTGTTGGTGTCCGCCTCGACGTGCCCCCTGCTGATACCGAGGCAGACTCTGGTAGTTTAACGGTTTGGCGGCATTCTGTAGCGGCTTAGCCTTAACGGCCTTTAGCTCCCTGCCCGATTTATCCAAATCTTTGGAAGATTTTAGTCTGGCTTCTAAGTCTGTCCCAAAGAGCAGCCCATCAACTGTGGCTTCCGATAGGATCTGTTTTACATCAGAGTTCAGGTTAAGGGCTACTAGTTCGCGACGAGCGATGGTTTCTGTCCGATGCAGGTCTGTCAATAGTTTGCTGGCATCATTCAGCAATTGGATGTACGTTCTGTTGCCCCCTCCCTCTTCTTTGAGGATGAGGGTCAGAGCGCTGCCTATACAGGACAGGCTAGCGCCTATTTGGCGCTGTAAAGCAGATAGTCTCTCGTCTCTCTTCTGCACAGAGCTGGATATTGTAGCTTTGATCTCCAAGTTAAGTGTTGGAGCTTTTACCTGAGTACAATTTTCAGGGGGTGGTATTTTTCTAATAATATGTTCTTCTCTTCCTCTTCCAGACCCATCTGTATGTTGTGAGCTCAGCGAACAGCCAGATCGTTGTGGATAGCCGGTCCTACATCTGGCTGTTTTATTTATTTATTTTATATGCAATGCTGTCATGAATATCGGAGCGCGGTGTTTAATCTGTGATAGGGATCGCTGTCATAGGCATTGTAATGAGTTGACATAAGTTCATATTGTGCAATATTATCAAATTATCATAAGCATTGTGGCGAGAGGTCACGAGCGTGTGCGAAGTAGGGCGATAGCGAGATGCATAATCTCATAAATTCAATATTATCTAGGTATTGCAGCAAGCTCGTGATGGAGAATATTGTCCTCAGCATTGTAGGGAGCTGTCGTCAGCTCATAATCCGAAATGCTATCATAGCATTGCGGCGCGCTGTCTGTGATAACCAATACTGTCATAAGTATTTTATCAGAGTTTCATATGCTTGTGATCTACCATACTGTCATAAGTATCGTAGTCATGGGCGCCCGCAGGATTTTTTTTCAGGGGGGGCAAAATAAAACTTGTTGCATTTCAAATTTAGTTATTTTTATTAAAAGTTGAAAATCGTTATGATAACAAAAATAAAATATACATAAAAATAAAATATAACTAAACAGATGACTTCTTCCTAGAGAGGTTTTTATGGTTTTATGGTTCAAAAGAAAAAAATGTAAGTCCTTAAAAATAACATAACATTTTACTAATAATTATATTAATAACTAATAATACCAAATACATTTATTACTCTAGACTAAAAACCAGTCTTCGGTTGCTTTGGCAAAATAGATCTAATATTTTAATGGCAAAATTTTGAATAGTTTCTGTTCGTTTTCGATGGATACTCAGCAATGCTAATCCAACAAGTCTCTCTTGTCCCATTGTAGCTCTTAACCATGTTTTAATCCTACGTAAGGTGCTAAAACTGCGCTCTATAGTGCAAGTGGTACACGGCAAAGTAAGGAGAAGTATGCAGCAATCTTTAACAGCAGGAAAAAATTTACAATGTCCAATAAGTTCTTCAATGGCTATATTTTCTGCAATTTTAGATTGACATAAATACTCTTTCCAAATATTTAACTCGCTTTCTAAATTTTCAATGTTATACAGCTGTTTGATCTTAACTCCGAACGATTTACTGTCTAAAGACTTTATATTTTTTGGCAAAATATTAAATAAACAAAAGGCAATTTCATGCTCTTTTGAAAATCTTGTTTTTAAGGCAAGAATTAAATGATCTACATATGGAATAAATATCGATTTTTTAAAATAGTCTTCAGCTGAATCAGATTCATAGTTGGATCTATAAATTTGTCGACCACAAATTCGTGGCTTAGCCACCTCTATTCCAAGAGTCTCACAACTGGACACTGCTTTGGAATAAAGTTCTGCAAAAACGGTATCAACTTCTAATCGATTTTTATTACAACTGTTAACTATTAAATTAATGTGGTGATAAACATCTACAAAATATTGAAACTCCTTGAAGGGTATTCGCAACCGGTTCTAAAATATTTGAATATTTACTACCTACCATTAGACAAATAACAAAAGAAAATGAATTTGTAGCAGCCCATAACTGAGCAGCTCTTTTTGTTGTAGCGGAATTCATTAAAATTTCTCCAGTTTTTATATCATGAAGAATTTTAAATATTGTATTAAAATTTTCTGCAAAAATGCGCAGACTTATACGTGGCTGACCAACGAGTCTCACAGAATAGAGGTATATTTGGAATTAGATTCCTTCTTAAACTACTTTCTCTAAAAAAAAACTATTATGTCTTTTACGGTACCAATAGTATTGCGAATTTCCGTTATTTTACTTACATCATTAATAACTAAATTTAATTTGTGTGATGCACAATGAAAATAAAATGCCCTTTTATACTTTTCTTGTATAATTTTTTGAACTCCATGAATTTCACCAGACATTGTTGAGCATCCATCGTAACCCTGTCCTACAAGTTTGTCAAGATTTAAGCCCGATTTTTCTAAAAACTGCAAAATTGAAGATGCGATGCTATCAGCGTTTAGTCGGTCCAACTTGACAAATCCAAGAAACTCTTCTTTCAGGGTAAACTTATCATTTTGTTCAAATACATATCGTATGCCAATAGATAGCTGCTCGTGTCCGGCAATGTCGGCAGTCTCATCAGCCAAGACACTAAAATATTTAGAAGAATTTGCTTCTTCTACTACGCTTCTTAACAGTACTTCTCCGGCTAATGAAATTATTTCATTTTGAATTCTGTGTGGTGTATATTTAGAATTACCAGCAGCGGTAAACAGGTGGTTGCCCAAAGTTTGGTCACCAGCGTCTATCCTGAATTTTAAAAGGTCACTAAAATTGCCAGCATTCTTGCTGCTTTCCCTTAAAGGCATATCATGGGTTCCACAAAAAATTATCGTTTTAATAATTGGAAGAATCTTATTCCTATTTTCCAAAATATTTTTTTTCCTTCCCTCGTCAATTGAAGCCAATATGTCATTTTTTTTATTTGACAAAATATCAATAAAATTTTTACCCCGAATGGCTGAATCTTGATGCCAAGCTGAATTGACGTGGTTTTTGGCCTGGGTGTGAAAATCCCTATATTTTAAAAATGGCTTCGTAATAAATGCGCCTAAAGCACTACCGTGGTTAACAGTGAGCTGAACCTTGTGGCTTAAGTACGGATATTTTTTTGTCAAAGCTCCTCCATATTGATGGTCTTTTTCTTCTCCACTTGGGCAGTCTCTTCCTCTTGTTGAGCTTGTTCCGATAAATCATTTTTGTTTTTGATTTTGCTTGTTATAAGTGATGTAATAAGTTTTTTAGCTCTTTCCGTTACATCGTCATTAGAAAATGCTATATTTTTAAACCTTGGGTCTAAAAATGTTGTTATAACTAACGAATTGCTGCTTTCCAGGTTTCCTAATCTAGAATTAATTCCATCTATAATCGAAAATATCACAGCTTTTGAAATTGTGCTGAACTCTTTATATTGCAATTCTTTGTAAATATCTAAGAGTCCATCAGTCAAAATGATCACAGACGATGCAGTGACATAGTTTTGTCCACTCATAACTTTAGTGACGTCCTCCAAAGGCCTAAGTATATCCACAAGCTCTTTCATAAATTGCCATTCTTCGATGGAAATAACTGGTAAGTCATGTTCTATTAGAGCCATGGTTGTACGAATTGGCTCTTCGAGCTCCACAAATCTTTCAATCATGTAAAACGTGGCATTCCACCGAGTAACTACATCCTGGACGAGTCTTTTTGTAGGTTCGATTTTTAAAAGCCTTTGTTGTTAAAAAAACTTAGCCATAGCTGCAGAATTCCTTCTAAAATAGGCTACTACCATTTTTACTTTATTCAAAATTCCGAAAACTGATTGTAATGAATTCTGTACAATTAAATTAATTGTATGGGCGTAGCAACCAAAATGTTTCTGCTGAAGATCTTCTTTTATGGCTTTTTTAATATTGGCAGCATTGTCGGAAATAAATATTAAAACTTTGTTTTCCAAATCCCATTCGACAAGAATATTTCTAATGGCACTAGCTAGGTTGGCGCTTGTATGCCTCTCGCTAAATGATTCGCATCCCAATACCCTATGTTTTAGTTCAAACTTGTTGTCTAGAAAATGAGCTGTAACTGCCAAAAAACTCTCAGTAGTAGATGATGTCCAGCAATCTGTTGTCAGTGTCACAGAATCTACGCCTTCAAGTTCCTTTTTGGTGTTATTGTAGACTTCTTCGTATTTTGCCGGTAACAGTGTATTAGTTATAGTTTTTCTATTTGGTAAGCCATATGATGGATTAAGCGCTGATACAAATTTTCTAAATCCAAAGTCTTCAACTATGGAAAACGGTTGAAAATCATGGGTGAAAAGTAGCATTAGTGCCTCATCAATTGTTTTTCGGGCAGTTACTCCCAATTTCTTGTGTAATAAATGTACTAACTGTTGATTGCATTTTAGCCGGTTTGGAAATAATGGTTTTTGGATTACTACTAGACGTTGATGCTGTTCCCGAAGTTGACGAAAGCTCGCCGTCATGTTTGTTGGTATGAACTTCCATGAATTGCACATTAGTATCTACTTCAGACGCCGAACTAATCATTGGTCTAGTCTCATTTTCACTTGAATTCAATCTAACTTGTGGGTGCTTCCTTAGCATATGTTTTCTTAAATTGTTGGAGGAGGATTTATAACTCAATTCGGTTTTACATATATTGCAAACGGCAATTCTGTCAGATTTAGGTTTCATTTCAAAGAAGTTCCAAATTTCTGATTTTTTTGCTGATTCTTTTCGCGTCATGTTGAGAAATCTGGCCTAAAAATAATACTTAATTAAATAATTGAACACCTACATCATCATTATGTGCATATTATAATTATATTATATTATAATATGCATATAATGCCTAGTCTGTAGTGTTTAAAACGTTGCAAATTTACTTACTTTTTTTGTACGCAAGATATTTTGTTGAAGCCAAGAAATTTTAAAACGAACTTGCGCTAAAATCAAATGTACGAATGCTTCTAACGCACAACCAAGAACGAACAACTAAGACTGTCCTGTCGTCTATTCGTCTAAACATAACCAAAACAATATAAGCACCGTCAGCCGTCGCCGTCGCGCCAATACCGCGATTTGACAGGGTTGCAATTTTGTCGTATTTGTCCTCCAAGGCCAAGGCAACGGATTGCGGCCGGGCGCGAATCGACATCATAAGTTACTTGCATGTGGACACGAGCCTTCAGTTCCTTCGGTTCCTGAGTAACCGGTTACTTGATGGTAATAAAGCGCGACGCTACGTACCCAAAAAATACCGCGATTATATCGCCGTATTAAAATACCGACCCACCTTTAGCGTGGACGCATCAGCGGCAACGGCGGCTGCGTTAAGGTGCAATTTCGTTGCGACGTCCCGCCGCCGCGGTCGACCGCAACTGCTAGCCGTTGCGGCCAAGCGATTTCGTTGCAGCGTCTAAATTTCGGCAGTCAGGGGTCGTGCTCTAAATTGTGAACATCGATTCAAAAAATCTCGCCAAAATAATTTTACTTGAGGACGAAGAAGAAGATGAAGAAGTGATATTATGGTGGTCTAGTCAACGAGAAGATTTTGACAGATTGTACCAATCTCGCAAGGAAGAGGGATATTTTAAAATTCTAATGAAGAATCACCTGGATACAAACGAACAAAAATTTCGTGAATTTTTTCGTTTAAATAAGGAACAGTTCCAGTTTGTTCTGAATATAGTATCGACAGATTTAAAGAAAAAATCCACAAATACCGTTCACGATCCTATATCTCCGGAAGAAAAGTTGGCATTGGCGTTAAGGTAAGAAAAAACAAAGTTTTAAAGACTTTATATTATTAAGAAACTCCAAACGCTTAAACAATGAACATGAAAAATAAACGTTACTGGTTAGTCCAGCCGTATCTAATATTTTCCAAACTATACTGCATATCAGATGAATTATATACAGATACGGACGTTAATGGTGTTAATACTACATTTTCCTGAGAACTTGGAGTGCTGGAAACAGTTGAAACCGACGTTAAAGGCGCTAATAAATTCTGTTGTGATCTTGAAGTACAGGTACGTGTTGGTTCGTTCGTATGTAATTCCGGTGACGCCTGTAATTCGGTAACTAATGTCAAAATTCCCAGTTTAGCTTTCGCTATTTGATGAGGAGGCAATTTTTTAACAGTCATCGCTATACTTTTGAAAAATAAATCAATCTCATCATCTTCGGGTTTTTGGGTTAAAGCAGACAACATTTGCATCCTTTGTTTGGATCTTTCTTCAACATTCTCCAAAAAGAGATTTTTGCGTTGGCTTCGTTTTGAAGAAGTTGAACCTGCATAGCTGTCTGGGGTACTAGAACGTGATTTGTCGATGGCATTCTGACGCAGTTTTTTCTCCTGCCTCGGATAATCGGAAGGTGGCGGTGAAGACAGGTCATCATCAACTAGTGCATTATCCACATCGAGAGAAGTGTCCACCTCTTCTTCACTAAGTTCCCTATCTATATTTTCCTCAATGCCGGTGGCAGCTTCATTGACATTACTGATGGTTCTAAAATTAAAGATCGTGAACTCGGAACTCTATAAAAAAATACCAAGTAAACTTACTGTCGTTCGGATTTCACGTTATCTAGAAACTTCAGATATTCAAATAACGCCCATTTCGGCGGTTTCGCTGATGCTGCACTCCCTGTTCCTATCTTTTGCTTCCTTTTGTGTTTAAGAAAGTTATCTCGAATGTTTTTCCATCGAGATTTGCATTCATCAGCTGGAAACAGAAATTTGTGAATTTGTGAAAATGTTTGCGTATAAATTTCTTTTTCAGGTTTTTAGCCACCGGAGAGACCTTCAAGTCACTCTCGTTTGCTTTCCGTATTTCACCGAGCTACATCTCCGTACTTATTCAAGAAACATTAGAAGTACTCAGTAAACATTTGGTCCCAATATTTTTGCCCCCACCAAATGCAACCGATTTGAAGAAAAATGCAACGGAATTTTGGAGCAAATGGAATTTTCCCAACTGTGTTGGTGCTGTTGACGGAAAACATATTCGAATTTTTTGTCCACAAAAAAGCGGTTCACTATTTTTTAATTATAAAGAATATTTTTCTATGGTCTTGCTTGGAGTAGTAGATGCAAATTGTAAATTTGTATTTGTTGACGTCGGCGCGTATGGAAAGGAAGGGGATAGTAGCATATTTATGAAATCTGACATGGGAAAACAAATATATTCTGGTCAGTTGTTTGAACCAGGTGTAAATCTTCCAGGTTCAAATAGACTATTGCCATACGTTATTGTCGGTGATGAAGCGTTCCGATTACATCCCCATGTGATGAAACCGTATAGCAAACAAGCGGCTAAAGGCGATAAAGAGAAAACTGTTTTCAATTATAGATTGAGTAGAGCCAGAAGAGTGTCTGAAAATGCCTTTGGATTGTTGTGTCAGATTTTTCGAATTTACTACACTCCGATTGCCATTAAGCCAGAAACTTGTGATAAACTCATACTTGTAACTTGTTGCTTGCACAATCTTCTGAGAGATGCATTTTTGGAAAAAAATAATCAGCCTTATTACAACTACGATGTAAGTTTGAATCTACCAGATAATATAACCCCGTTGAGAAATGCTGGAGGATTTGCAAATGCGGATGGTTTTGCAATAAGAGACGAATTCGCGAATTTTTTCGTCCAAGAAGGGGCTTTAAATTGGCAGGACGACCGCATATTTAGACTAAGCAGTTAATTTTTTATGTTACAATTCACTATATTGTTGGTAGAAGCACACTGTGTACAATTTTAAACTGTACTGTAGGTTGTGTACACTTGAAATTAATAAAAAATAGCATATAGGTACTTACGACGTTTTCCTAACGCTGAAGCGATGTCATTCCAACAATTTTCACGGATCTGAAAATCTTTAAAGTCTTTGTGCTCGTGATCATACAAGAACGGATATTGCTCCACCGTGCGTATTAAAATCTCATCTGCAGAAGCCAATTCTCTTTTTCGGGACATTTTTGAAACCAAAATGATCGGCGGCCGCGTCTGGACTGCTCCTTGTAGCAGTCAAGACGCAGCCGTCGACGGCTGAACGCCTAGCCGACAGGTCGAGACGTGTCAACGAAAATGCGTCGATTTGAAAACAATGATATCAGTGCATTGCGGCGGGCAGTTGCGGTCGACCGCGGCGGCGGGACATCGCAACGAAATTGCACCTTTATGACGCCCATTGTACTGACGCCGAACGGCAGGCGGCAAGGGAGGCGCGTCGTGTCGTCGAGCTCCCGGTTTGCTAGGAAAGTGCAGTAAAGTATGATGAGGCTTGCTGCAACATTTACAGAACATGGACTTGCAATTATTCACGTTGTGTCCGAATCTCAGACAGTTGATACAAAGATTGAGGCGCCTTGTTTCATTAAAACGCTCTGTGGGGGCTAAGCGAATAAACTCTTGGCAAATATAGATTGAATGATCCCTTTTACAAAACGCGCATGACGTATTTTCGTTGTGTGTAGCTACAAACGCCTTGGGCTTGACGTGCTTATTGAACGATTGATTTTGTCTCGCTTTATCATGGTTCATTTCTAAAGATTCCAGATTTCGACACTTGTTTTTTGGAAATTCTGAAAATTCCGTCATGGTAGGAAGTTCTTGCGTTTTGCTCCGCATTTCCCATTCGCGGCGAGTAGCGTTATCTAGCTTGGAGGAAATGAGGTAGATGAGTATCAAGTCCCAGTGCGAGACAGGTAGTTTCAAAACCTCCAAAGCTCGCAAGTGTTTCTGTAGGCGGTCTACTAAGTCCCGTAGGCTAGCATAGCCTTCTCGTTGGATGGTAGGTATGTCAAAAAGTGCTTTTATATGATTGTTGACTAAAAGTTGCTTATTTTCGAAGCGTTCCTCCAGTAAGTCCCAAGCTACATTATAATTTTGATTTGAAATTTCGAGAGACTTGATTGTGTCTGCGGCGCTACCTTTTAGTGACAATCTCAGATAATGAAACTTTTGTATGGGGCTTAGGGCATCATTGTTATGGATTAAAGAGCGAAAGGTATCTCGGAAAAATAGCCACTGATCGTATGATCCATCAAAATGTGGGATATTCAAGGCCGGAAGTTTGATAGCTTGCAAATCTGGCTGTACAAATTGTGGAGGGGAATGTAAAGCCGCATTGTTTCCTAGCGATGGTCGATGATCGTTCAAAAATTGCTTGGTTTTTGATATAATTTCGTAAAAGGCATTTTCAAAGTCAGCACGCGCTACTGAATGAACTGATTCAAAATTTTCCTCAAAATTTCCATCTGAATCTTCGATTTTTTCTTGGATTTTGTTAAAATTGTCTAACAGTAATTCGACAGAAGCTAGTCTGCATTCCAGTTCTGTGATATCTGGATTAGATTTTTGACTGATGGCATGGAAATAATCATGAAATCGAGTAAGAGTACCCTTTATGGATGCACGTTTTCTAGCATTACCATTAGGCATTATGCGTGAGTGAGCGAGAACGAGAATGAGAGTAAATTCAGGTAGGTAACCAAGCCGTAACGAAACAATCTAACGTTAACGACAAATGCGAAAATTTGAGTGCTCCAGGAATAACGAAACAATGTGAAATACGAGAATGCTTAAGCGACAATGTGTGAGCTCAAGGAAAAACGACAGGAATGTGAGATATGGAACGCACCAACCTTTTGTGTGAGTGTGACGATCTTCGATGGCGATTCCCAATGATGGCGGCTTGTTGTGGGTCCCGTGGTCGCTGTGCTTCAGGCCGGCCAGGGCGATTTTCAGGAGTTTCTGACTTCAATCCGGCTCGTAGGATCAAATGTTATGTGCGGCAAGGACACATCCGTTCCAGTCTGGTAGATAGTTTATTGAAGTTTACAAAGTGGACTGTATTTGATTAGAAAAATGATTGACAATACAAATTTTTCTTGAACGTTTTTGATGCGTTCTATCTCGACACCTGTTCTCTTGGTCTCGGCGCTTCGATGTCCCCGCGTCCCCGTCCCCATTGGCTGGGATTCAAAAACTGCCAGGCAGCGCTTGCGCAGTGGTCGTGGCTGGTACACAGTGGCGCGCGCGCCAAATGACTATTGGCGTAACAATGCTTTTCCTAATGGACGTGTAATATGATATTTGATCTGAGACATCGCCTTTTTTCGCTTTATTGTAAGCAATAACTGCTGGGGGTTTCATAACATCTTCTCCTTTAAATTTTTTCCCAGTTAGTCTTAGTTCGGGTTTATGGCTTGGTGCACTACTGATCATAAGAACTCAAGACCATCTTTGTCACACCAACTGGATTGCCTCTCCTATTGTTTCGGAGTGTACCGCAAAGATAAGTTTTTGCTTTTAGAAGAACATTGCACAGCTGCACACTTGATTAAAAGTTATCCACAAATAATATGCGGCCTTCATTTAAAAGTCCCTCTAGCAGAAATAAGCAAACATCGTATGTATGGCCATGTTGCGATGGAGCTGAACCGTTTTTCCCTGCATACACCTGAAGATTATATTGTGTAACCTTCTGGAGTACAAATATTGTACATTTTGATTCCGTATTTGTGCCTTTTTGCGGGAAGGTACTATCGGAATACTAAACTATCTCTCCACGGCACCATAGTTTCATCAATAACAACACTTTCTCCAGGAGAGAGTGTATCTTGAAATTGTTGGCAAATAAGATTTAACCCTTTCAGGACCGACGCGTCCACGAAAAAACATGCCTGCTGGACCAGAATTTTTGGATGGTCATATGACCCGGTGACGGCTATATCCGACGAAATCATAAAACAGTATAATTCTTTTTTTATTCTATTAAAGCATACTTAGAAACACAAACAGCAGTAAATAGAACTAAAGAAGGTCAATCAAAACTAAAATTGAAGCCCTAGAACTAATACCTAAAGACAAAAAAACAAAAATAAGAGCACATCGTATCAAAAAAAGTCGAAAGACATTTTACTTCAAAAGTGATTTTCTTCATGATATATTTTGAAGCATGGAGCTGGACACAACCCAACATCGCATTCCTTACACATATATTTGGTTTCTTTTCTTTTCTTAGGTTTTTGTTTGCTGTGGGAACATACATAGCATCTCCTGTAGGCCGATTTGCTGCATTCCTTGACTGTAACCAGATCGGGAAAATGTCTTTGTGTGAGTCTTTTATTTCCAAGATCCAGGTGAACAGATCTCGAAGCTGTTTTTTGAAACCTGCAAAAATCGAAATATAGAACTATTTTTAGACAAAAAGAAATATATATATATAGGTACCTTTCCAACAACTGCCTAATCACTGCAAGTTGAAATGTGGCCAGTGGAACTTTTGCTGGATTCTGTGTCAAATACATGGCATGAGCATTCAATAAGCATATATCCATGGTATGAAAAAATAGTTTTTTATACCATTTCATGCTTTTGCGCGTTGAATCAATGCTGCTGATCATCATATCACTTCGGTCGACAGCTCCCATTTGCTTGTTATATTCCAAGACACATAATGGCTTCTGAAGGTTTTCATTTGTGACCCTATCCTTCCTTGGAAGACTGACCATTTTATTCTCATGTAGTGTAGTCAGCATAGTGACATCTCGCTGATCTTTCCATTTAACCACCAACATGTTTTCACTGCTTCTCCAATCACATTCACCCCTCTTAAGTTTTTTGTCTAAAATTGTCATTTCTTTCCTATTTTGTTTCACGGTCCCACATGAATTGGTTTTATTTTCAAATAGAAATGTTGACAAAGTTGGACTGGTATAAAAGTTATCAGTAAAAAGAGAATGACCCTTGTTCATGTATGGTTGTAATAGATTACTGACAATTTCACCTGTAGCACCCAATCCACGAGTATCTTCTTGTGTGCCTTTGCTTACGTACACTATAAAATCCAAGACGATGCCAGTCTCACAATCACACAAGACATACAGTTTATTCCGAACCTATGTCTTTTTGTTTTGATGTATTGACGAACACTGAGGCGACCTTTGAAAAGGACCATACTTTCGTCAATAACCAAATGTTCGAAAGGATAAAACAGGGATTTGAAATTCTCTTTTAGAACGGTCAAAATATTTCCAAATTTCCCCAATCGATTGTGAGGCTTTACCTCCTCATTATTAGCGAAATGAAGATAGCGATGTATCTCGCAATATCTGTTTCTTGACATAGTCTGTCCAAAAACGGGAGTGCTGAGTAAGATATCTTGGGTCCAGTACTCTTTGATATTCAGTTTCTTTACACGTGTCATAAGCAGAGTTACAGCGAAAAATACGTAAAGTTCTGGAATGTCAACGCTTTTCCACTTAGGTGCATCTCTTTGAATGGCATACCTATTTGTTTCGATGGCAATGACGTTCATAATATTTTCAGATAAAAGACTCAAAAAGAAATCTACTTCACTGCTTTGATCATTTAAACTAACATTTCTTAATCCGCTATTAGTACTATCAAATGCAAAAACTTGCGGAATAAACTCTTTGTCCGTCCATTTTATTTCTAACCTCGTACGTTCTCTAATAATATCCATTCTCTCGTCCATTGCTGTCTCAGGTTCCAAGACCGGCGTTTGAGATGAATCATGCTTGTTGTCTTCACCTTCAGACACTTGCAAGTAGTCGTCCTCTGAAGATTCACCTTCCGAGCTGGGAATAAACTCGCTTCCACTGTCAGCAAAGGGATCTTCGGACTCATCCTCATCGGAGCTCATAAGATATTGTGAAAGATTTCGGACTTCCTCCGGGGTCAGCCCACAATAGCCCGCACCTGCATTATCTCTTTTACGCTTATTTCGTCCTTTTCGACCGTCAGATGTACTGGGTTCAGCGTTATCCATCTCGCACAATGAACAGAACAACACAAGAGTCAAACACAAACTAACTATGTCTACAATGTCCCAATAACAACACGAAACTGTTTCAAACCAGTCATAATAAGTAGATTTGCCTGCTCCACGTGTTCGACGCCGAACTCCCCCGAGCGTCCACCGTCGCCCATGTTCGACAGTGTCGGATTCTCAAGCCATTGGTCTGTGGGGAAATGCAGTGCTGAGCGGATTTAGCCGACACTGGTCCCTGTGAGAAGTTTAATTTTTAAAGGTGTCGTAAATGATCGACATTGGTTTTACCAGTTTGTTTCACCCCTGTCGTATACAGCCGACACTGGACCTAGGGACAAGTTTCTTCCTGTCGGAACTTGCCGTCAGCGGTACCGAAAGGGTTAAAATGTTTTTTATTTTATGAAGTCTATCTGTTTCCGCCGCTGGCGCTGGGTCGGCGTTATCTGCGAAATGGTGAAACTTGAGTAAGCAATCAAATCTATCTCGTGTTATTGTGTTTTGTATAAATGTATTGCCAAACATTTCATTATTACTCCAGTACATTCGCATATTTGGCAAATGTTGAATTCCCATGATCATCAAAGTGGCTAAAAGCTTTTCCATTTCACGATGATTAGTGCCTGTCCACTTGCGGACAAACGATCGCGAACGGAGCTGGTGGGTACGAATATATTCAGAGGCATATCTATTTGTCTAGAATTTCATCAGTAATAAATTGTCTAAAGATTGCATAAGGGCTAGATAAATCCATATCACTCAATTTCAGTCCGCTTTAACCAGAAAATCCAATATCATTTGGATCATTTTCACATGGTCCCCGATTGTGGAACGTAGGATTGGCACTTGAAGTGTTGTCATCAATATCGCTGTTTAGGTCTTCATGTTCACTCTCATTGCAAACAGCGGAAGAATTATTGCTGTCGGAAAGTTCAGAGGGTACATAATCGTCTTCCGAGTCTGCATATGGTTCTGATTCATCTGACGAAGAAAAATTTTGACGGTTACAAGAAGGACCCGGCAATTCTCGATGTTGATTTGTCAACTCACTCGGTCTTGATAGCGGTGATTTTGACGGTTCAATAGTGTCAGATACTTTAGTTTTTACCATAACCGGAAATTCTTGATGTTCATTTGTCACATAACTCGTTTCTGATGTAGATGTTTTTGAAAGTCCGCTTAGCTTTCCAGTATATTCACTCGACACTGATGCCGGTCTTGTCGATAAAACACTCACTTTGTCCGAAGTTGGTATTGTTTCTGTTGCCGTAACACAGTCTACAGTACCACTTGTTGCACTAACAGTCAATAAACTTAAAATTTTTTTGCCTCTCGATATCATCTTGATCACTGTCGTTCTTCTACTAAAACAAAAGTGAGGTTAACTTATTGTCAACAAGAACGTGTACCACCCAATGAACTGTCAACACTGATGGAATGGCCCCGTCCCATTTGAACAATGAAGCGAATGTGCGGCCCGAGTGAGATGGAGCTAGCCCGGGCAAAAGCACGGCAAAAGCGCGCGAAATATGAATGAAGCGATATCGATTAATGAGGATTTCTACGAATAAAAAAGATTTAATACTTATCCAAGCACCTGGAACGTCATAAAAGCCTCAAAATATAGTAAATAGCGGTAATTTTAATAAAAAAGCAATTTCTGGAAGTAGCAATTTATTACATCACCATTTAAAAAAATACAAAATATATATATCTTATACGTATATGAAAAAATTTTTTTTTAGAACATTAAAACAAGAACATATATAGCAGAGATAGGGTCGTTCGACATGGTATAATGATAAAAAAAGATGGACCTCAGGCAGCTCTTTGTCTATAATATTTTAATATACCAACACAAAAATAGGCAAACTTTAATGCTCATCTCCCACTGCCATAGTTGAAGACATGAGTTAGAAAAAGGAAATAGGCATATTCTAGCAAAAAACAAAAAGAATAGTTTTCATTACATTTTATAGCACCACGTCTTTACTCTGAATTGACAGAGATACACGGTAGTGAACGCTTTGAATTCCAAGCATTTTGAAGAAAGACTGTGAAAATGGATACTAAGGACACCTCGCACGATTTTACAGATATATATATATATATATATAGATTTGGAGAGCAAGTGTTGTATCTACTTATCTCTACTCACGTTTCGGAGAAACTCGGACTTGTGTAAACTCCTTCAAATATATGTTTTATTAAGTCAAACTTTTATATGGTTATGCGGCCAAATGCGGTATATGATGTTACTTGATAGTGTGACAAAGGAATTGAAAAGGTAGCCTGCGCACAAATCTTTCTTGAAGATTCCAGTGGGTAGTCCTACTTATTTTACAAATATCTTTGGTATAGGGCTGATTTATGTAAGTTAACTAAAGGAAATCAATGGATGAAATTTCAAATTGTTGGTATTGCATTACTTTTGTTCCTGACTGGAATACATCACTATTGATTTCTAAAATGAATTGTTTTGGTTAACCTTTGCCTAATTCTGTCGGTAATTTGATTTTTGGTCGAGTTTATATGGTGAAGGCGAATAGTGAAATAATTTTTCAAAATTAATCTGATCAACTGAATGATATGGCCATCAAGTGGGTCTTGTTCTAGACAGTGCTCCGATAAACACAAAAAAAGTTCCCTGAAATTTAAATTTCTCATTGCAGCCGAGATCAACTTCAACATTATATTCGGAATGGAAAAGTTAGTCTCCGTCTTTATAATACTTTCTGCAACCGTACACACTTTAACATCTTTTGTAGGCTTGCTTAGACCTCCTCTATTTTTCCTATTCAGGAGCTTACAAGTAGAATCAGATGTTGTAACTGATTTGGCACATTCGTTACAATTCAGGGTCTGACCTAGTTTTTTGCTGACAAAACCTGCTATATATTCCACAACATCACAAATATACACACAGTTTAAAATTTTATTGTGATTAACAATGTATTGTTCCTGTAAATCGGGAGAAAAATCTTGCTCAAATTCATACAGTACATCGAGAGAAGGATTTTTTACTTTTTTTGAGGTAACATTCAAAATAGAGGTGCTGTCTTGTGCTAAGCAATTTGCACTTTCAGAGGAAGCAATTTCGCTGTGAATCAGCAACCTCTTATAGGCTTGTTCAAATTGCCATGCTGTTGGATTATTGGAAAAACCCCCTCTCCTACGTACTGCGGCAAAAAACATTTCCAAATGATCCTGGCTCAATTTGTACGTTAATAAAAAATTTAAAGTCCCACTTTTCACTAAATCTTCAAATAAATTTTGAACACTAACCAAACAGATAATCAATCCCAAAAAACCTGTTTTTCTACTAGTCTGTAATATATTAACACCTTCGTAATTTGTTACTGTACTTAAGTAGCTAATAGAAGTCTGTACAAAATTTCTTAAAAACTCTTCACTACCTTTATATAAAGGTTTTTTGAACTGGGTGCTGCCAAGAAAATTTCTTGTATTCAGCAGATCGAATACATTATTAATATTTTTGCAAAATGTTGCAGTCGCTTCTGCATATTGGAAAGAAGGTATGTTTAAATCTTTCTCACAATACTCTAACGCGTCACTCACACTTGAACTAAATATTTGTACTGCTAACTTCACTCTCATTCTTTCTTTATAGTAGTTCAGGTGCCTCCTCCTAAGTTTAGTGGCACAATGCAGACCTGTATCTTCTTGTAGGTTGACAAGTTGTTTGAAATATTCCCACTTAATGTCATTCCCTCCACCATCTTTTAGAGCGCCATAGTCGCCTAGAGTATTGCGAACCAATTTAATCATGTGGCAAGCATCCAATATTATATGTATTTTCTCATTGTTATTGGCATTAATGAAAAAAGGCTGACTACATGGAAAACCTAAATTCGCACCTAATAAGTTTGCCATGAGGATATTTGATGCATCACCATCAAAAGTCAAACTTTTAATTAATATGCCAGTGCTTTCCAATTGTAACAAGCACCCCCTGACAAAGGTAGCCTTTTCTTCAGCCAATGATGATTCTATTAGGAAATAAGCTATTGGAACTTTCCATCTAGTATTAATGCCAACAACCATGAAGACTAAAGCCTTTGTGGCCTTTGGCATCTCCTGACTACTTTGCATTGTAACACCAATATTTATGTAGCCTACTGCTCTACTCCCAGTCCAATGTACATGCTGATGAATATACATCTCATCCATCATCAGGGCACCAACAAGCTTTTTTCCCTTTTCTTTTTCAGCTTCCACCTTAATTTTTATAGCACGAATTGCTTCTTCGCTATATCCAGGTGTACCATCTACAACACTATACCATTTTGAAAGAGTGCGTGGATGTGGTAAAACTTTTTTTCCAAATATTTTCCTAACATAGTTGTACGCTGATGATGAATAAAAATTTAATGTTAGTGCAAAACATCTCAACTCTGGGCTATATTTGTTAGTTTTTCCTTTTTTCAGCTGCCTGAAAAGCAGCTGCTTTTGGGTTTCTGAAAGACTTTCCTGTAAAAATAAGATAAATACATGCATAAGCTGAAAATTTCATGCAGGCTAAAAAAGTTAGATAGAATGATCACCCTAGCTAGCAATCAATAGACATGCTACAGAGTTAAACAATAAAAATGCAAATTTCACAAGCAAAAATAGTGGAATCTAAGTAGCAATTGTAATATATTTTCATCTTAAGCTTAAAGGAAAATATCCTTCCATCAAATGTCTACCTTAAGTACTAATGACTGAGCTGCAGATATTTTCTTCTCTTCACATAGTTGATCCACTAGACTATTCAGACTATTTATTTTATCTTTTTGTCTGCGTATTGTACACTTATTGTACTTGATCATTTTTCTGTACTTGTAAACAGTCTCATGAGTAATTTTCCAGAATCTCTTCCTGCGTTGCAAATTACTTAAATCAGAAAATTTTAAGTCTCCAAAGAATACAGGTTCTCTCCTGAACATGAAAATGAAAAAAAGTAACAAATGAGAAACACAGAGTTGGATGATAATTACCTTAGATTGCACATGTTTGAAAGTTCACTTGATTCAAGGTGTTCTGGGTTTTGTGCTGAGTTTGATGAAGGTCCAGCTTGCAGATTGCAAATGTTTGAAGGTTCACTTGATTCAAGGTGTTCTGGGTTTAGTGCTGAGTTTGATGAAGGTCCAGCTACCAATAAATTTCCATCAACACTGATAGGGTCATTTTCAGGTTCTTCTACTGCTTCACAAATATCCAAGGTTTGATCTAAAAATGATAAGGTTACTAAGTTATACCTACTTAATCATTGTATCTTTTCTTTTTGTGGAAGTACAGAACTTAAAACCTCAATTTGAGACTTATTAGTCAAAAGAGACCTGTTTCTTTTGATGTTGATTCCTCACGTTTTCTTTTCAATACCCTTCGTTGTGCAGTAGGTTTTTTTTTGAGATGGGCAGGAAAATCAAAAACAGATGGAACTGCCGACTTTTTTAGTACCCTATTTCCATGCACATTAACTTCATAATCATCAGGTGTGAAATGTTTTTCACAAATTACTGTTGATGTGCTGGGTGTAAAGTTCACTCTTCGTATTGCGATCAACCACAGCTTTCGCATGTTAGGATCTGTAGGAATCCTAAAAATTCAGATATTTTCTCAAATTACTAATCAAGAATCAAAATTCTACCAGACAAAAATGAATTGGAGGATTCAACCAACCTATGAAACTTCATTTTTACATCTTTTCTGCGCCTATTACAACAGTTCACTGCACTGCACGATTCGACCATTTTAGAAACACAAATGACAAAACAAAAGCACTTGAAGTTTGTACGGTCCAAAAATAATGTTTACAACAATCACCTCAAACTTCGTTATTGCTTTAAAATAGCACCATTAACAAAAAACACCAAAAACTTATAGAAAACGCACACACATCCAACTGTTTGTTTACGTTTTTCTGCCCGGATTAGCTGTATCCTTCTCGCACAATTTGGTGGTACAAGCAACCGCTATAACGAAAAAAATATTTGTGGAGCCGTCTTATACCACCGGTGTTACAAGACAAAAAAGTGAAAATAATTACAAAAAACAACGGATATAAGCACCAATAATAGTACAAAATGACAAAAAACACGTTATATCATACAAAGAATGATTATACAAATAGACGTTTTTGAAAAAAAAAATACGATTTACTCATCGGCGTGAACGGGCTAAACTACTTTGTTTACGCGTACGTGTGAGTTTATTCGACACACGAACGATGAATGACTGTACCGGCGACGCAGGGTTGCAACATTGTCGCTCTTTTTAGCTTGGATAACGTGTGGAATTCGACCCATTCGGGGAAACTACAAGTGTTTTATTTACGAGCGAGGCCCGCATATAATTACTAAATCAAACGAACTCACCTTTAATGTAACTAAGTAATATTATTGTTAAATGGAGATAAAAATTAATTATATAGCTGGTTAATCTAATATGACCCTCGCATAAGCATAAGAATAACAAACCGGTCTCTTATAGAAATTTGCAAATGTTTTTGAATGTCCGGTCCAACCGGCAGCTGACCTAATTATATCTATTGATATATCCCTACGATCCGCTAAGGAAGTAGATGCATGTGTTGTTGAATGAGATGCATATTTAGAGGTATCAATACCAGCCCTAATTAAAACATTTCGAATCCAACGTGCAAGTGTTTGTGATGAGGCATTATGATACGGTCTTTTAAAGGTGATTAAAAGCCTGTTACATACAGAATTTCGTACATCCTTCGTTTTGTCTATATAACATAGGAGAGTGCTGGCGACACAAATATTTTCATCGCTTCTAAAAAATGATAAAGAAATAACATTCTGGGCTTTACCTGGCCCAGAGGTTTTAATACGGTCGCGAATAAATATCTGAACGCCTTGGGATGAAGATTTTATGTCATCAAGTTGAATAAGAGAAAGCGTTTGAACCCTTTGAGCTGAGGTAAGAGCTAACAAGGTTGCTAATTTATATGATATCTGCTCTAACGAACAATCTCCATTAGATAGATAGTGTTCGCAAATAATCTAAGACAAGTGAAGGATCGCAGATATTTTGATACTTTGGCAAACTAAGTCTCAAATGAAATACACCTTTAAAAACCGTTTTACTCGAAAATCTTGTGCTAATGTGGGGCCTAAAATCTGGGCTATAGCGTATCGATGGGAATTGAGCGTACCATATGATGCTCCCTTATTATATTCTTCCTGCAAAAACTCTAGGACAGTCGGAATAAAAGCAGTGAAGCAACTCTCATTTCTGGATTTCCAAAATTGATACCATCGCTTTAAATCGGAATCATATTGTTTAACAGTAGATTTTATAATTGAAGCTAGGCAGACCTCAATTGCAGACTTTGGCGTTCCTCTTAATTCTAAACCTTGACTGATAAGAGACCTGCAACCAGGATAAGTTGTAGTCATAATGGGTGTGTCTGAGATCTGTCAAAACATAAAAGAACATCTTTACTAGCCGAAAAATAAATTGGTGGCTTTTTAAGAAGAGATGTAAAAATGGGGTAGCAAGGCTGTGTAGGCCAATGTGGCACAACTACTATACCTTGGGCCCCGTGTCTCTAATGATTTTATGCACAACTTTAGGTATTATTGAAAAAGGGGGAATGCATCCTCCAATTGATAGTAAAGGGGTCCACTCTGAATGCAAGAGGATCAGGATGCCACGGAATAAAAATTGGACATTTAGAATTATTGCGACTCGCGAAAAGATCTATTTCTGGGAATCCAAATCTTGAAACGATTTCTCTGAAATATTTGTCGTTCAATTCCCATTCAGTCTCAGGATGTAACCTAAGTGATTCTATGTCTGGAATTATGTTATCTTTACTGTTAATGTTAGAAACACATATAAATAAATTTTTGCTTTCACACCCCTGCCAAATCTCACGACAAAGTGAATTTAATTTAAAATATTGAATACCTCCCATTCTATTTATATATGCAAAGGCTGTAGTATTATCAATGCGTAAGAGAATATTTTGGTTAGAAAGATGACCGGCACAACATTTTAAACGAAAAAATGCTGCCTTCAATTCTAAATAATTAATGTGTTCTTTCATTTCTTCTAAGAACCAAAAACCATGAGATCTACCATTATTACAGAATATTCCCCAGCCCGTTAAGCAGGCATCTGAAAAAATTTCCAAATGGAAAAAATCTAACTTAATACAGTTGAAACTATTATTTTCTATATGCGATAGCCACCACCTGAGATCGTTATGTAACAGTGGAGAAATGGCCATAATTCTATCTTAATTTCCATCTGTTCGCTTCAAGCCCAACAATTTTTCTCTTTCCATCAATTTAGTATATAACCATCCATAACGAACGGCCGGGCATATAGAAACTAATTTTCCGATTATTTTGGCGAAAATGCGTATCTTACAACGCGAATTCCTTAAAAGAAATCTAACATATCTTAGAAGTGAATCTTTCTTATTCTCCGGTATAGAAATTGACATATCTTGAGAACCATAAGTAAACCCCAGATATCGAACAGTCTAAGATGGAGTTACAACACTCTTTTGATAATTTATAAGAAAGCCCAATTACTCGAGAAAATGAATAGTTAAGGAAACATTTTTCTGGCATTCATCAAAAGTTTTTCCCAATAATAAAAAATCATCAAGATACAGCACCGAAAGTAAGCCTTGTCCTTTAAGAAATGAAAGAACAGGTTTTATTAATTTGGTGAATACAAGAGGGGTACGATTAACCCATTTATGCCTGAATTATAATCTTTCAAGAATTTCGATTTAAGGGCTGTTTAGTGAAGTAAAAATAGTCTCTGATGTGATATTCAGTCATTTTATTTGAGAATCTACACGAAAAAATACATTTTTTGGCTGTTAGTTTAATCGAACGTTAGGCATATATACGTAAAAATGAGTTAATTTTCAAGAAAATGTTAACACGCATACTTCTTTTTCTTAATTCTTGGTATGATAAGGAACAAAACAGTCCATATGTAATGCAACGTCGCATTTGTAGCACTTTTTTTGCACCGGCTTGTGGACACACGCGATAACGAGTTGGCTTGTCCTGCCGCACTAAGTAATGTTCATTAGTGTTCATGAAACGGGATTCTGCATTTTCCAGACATGATGGTCTTCCACGTTTTCTGGACACCCTGTTAGTTTCCAATAGGGTCATGGCAATCTGTCTCCGGAATGTCAGTTGATCCATTGACCCTCCTTGCAGCCTATGTAAATGCCAGGAATTTTGAATAGACAAATCCAAAAGGTAAAAGATTAGACAGGAATACCATTTTTTTCCTCGGATACTCGTACGTTAATAACTAATATTCTCGTCACATCTGTCTACACCTCCCATAAATGCGTTGTATGCTTTTATGCACTGAGGTTGATCAACTGTAATCTTTTTTCTTTTCTGAAGCCTTGACACATGATGAATAGGATGTACTTGTAAATTGTTCGTGGCGACATTTACGATATTATTGTCATTCCACTTGACGATTAGTACTTTATTCTCGGTTGACCCGTAGTCATATGTACCTCTCGTAGTTTTTTTCATGTCAGTTTTTGACTGGACTGTGCATTTCGACATTCTGTTCTCCCGCACTGTCCCCGTACCTCTAATGTTATGCCGCAAAAGTTCCTCCAAAAGTGGCACAGTAGTAAAGAAATTATCGAAAAAAATGTGATACGGGAGAGATAGCATTTGGCGCAATACGGTACTGTAATGCAGCACAACGGATGGCCCTAAGCCAAACAATTTGTACATCGTGGGAATTTGAGTGTTTGATCCCTGATAGGGTTCCAACCACACACAATAGCCAGCGCAGTCTGAAGATGATATTGCACCCATCCATATTTTGAATCCATAACGGATTGGCTTCCCTTTGTTGAACTGCTTACAGCCGTGCCTCCCGAAGTAAGGTACCATGGACTCATCAACTGATTGTGCAGCTCGTACGGGGCAAAAAAGTTGAAAATTTCTATTTATTGCTTCAAAAAGTGGCCGAACTTTCGCAAATCTATCTTGTTGAGATAGCTTGGAATTGTCACAACAATGCAAATTTGACATAATAAATTCGAATCTATCTCTTGACATGGCTGAAGAAACAACTTCATTATGGGTGTCTTTGCTATTCTCCCAGAACATACGACGGCGTGGAAGCTGGACCTAACCACTCAAAATCAAGATGCCGAAGAACGCTTTCATTTCCGCTTCAGTGATAGTACTGTTCAAGACGTTCTTTTTTGAAGCGTACAAATTGCTATATTTTACAAACATATCGATGACGTTGTTGTCAAAAAACTGAAAAAATAGTTCTGTAGGTGAGAAGTTTGTTTTCACATCGATGTACGTTGGCCATTCAAAAGATCGAGGTTCTAAATCTCTCTTTTCCCATAAGTAATTCTTTTTTATGGCTACTTGCAAGCTACGTAGCGGTAAATCATCCTCATCTATTTCATTTCCTATTTCTTCCTCCTTATCTTCTTGAGTAATGCCGAATAATTCAGCTTCTGCCATAAGTTGTGTGCCTGGCAGGTTACCAATGGTCATCAAATCCTCGTCGCCCGAATCTTCATTTGTCAAATCCTGACACGCATTTGTAGGGGGCTGTAAAATAATGTCTATCTCTTGGCTGTTAGGAAGTGTCTCATCATCGTCGTCATCCAGCGTATTCAAAATATCATCCAACGTCAAGCCACTGAAATACAAAATATACCCTTGTGTACCTGTTGTTCGTTTTATCGAACACGCAAATTTACCCCTGCCTGGACAAAACACGTGTTGCTGTACGCCTGCTGTAAAGCAGCAAAAAGCATGTATATATCTTAGAGAATACGTATCTGTCAGCAAAAATCTGAATGATCATTAAAAGTTTGCAAAACTTACCGACAAAGTGTTAAAGATCGAGCATAATTGAACGATCAAATGAACTTACCTGTGAAATTCGATCGTAATTATATGAAGCGTCCAATCCGAAGATATCACTTAACCAGGTAGTACGCCGTACGTTGCTATATCGCGCACAAAGTTTAAAGAATATTTTTTCCCCTTCCGCCATCCGTCCCCCGCCATCCATTCAGCATTCCAGTCATTCTGTTCAAAGTATTTTGGTTAATTACAATCGTTTGGGTAAGTATATTATTATAATAATAATATATTGAATAGCTTTGGGTTAGGGTGGGAGTGATATCTTCGGATTGGACGCTTCATATAATTACGATCGAATTTCACAGGTAAGTTCATTTGATCGTTCAATTATATTTCAGCGTCCAATCCTCTATATCACTTAACCAGGTAGATGTTTAAAGTAGTGACGATTGTAATTGAGTAATAAGTTATATACAAAAAATTTGTTAATTTTTTATTAACATTAATTTAACACAAAACTAAAAAGGATTTTCTCCCTATTGTTTAACAACTCAAGAAAATAACGTTATGTCTTAAAAGAAATAACGCCTAATAATATACCTGATGTCAATAAATCAGGTTAAAAATGAAAGTATAAAGGCCATTAAAAACGAAAAGAAGATAAACTTATGATTCTAATGAAAGGATTTGTTCAGCGAAAGTAGTATTGTTAACTATTTTCCTCTGATAAAATCTTGTAAATGTCGTTTCTCTGATCCAGCCGGCCGCCTGCATTATAGACTCCATGGGGATTCCACTTTTTAGTGCCGCCGAAGTTGACGCATGGCGGGCGGAATGAGGTTTAAAAATGTCTGTATCAATACCAGCTAACTTTAGTGTATTTTTAACCCATCTGCTTACTGTTTGTTTTGTCGCTGGTTTATGCGGACTCTTATGAGTAATAAATAGCCTATCATCAGATGCAGATCTTTTTTCCCGTGTGATTTCCAAATAGTTTTTTATGGCTGTAGCTGGGCAAATTGATGGGTTTTCTAGGAAAAACGGTATTTGAAGACATGGCTGTAACTTATTGATGTTAGACGTCTTTATTTGATCGGTTATTAAGATTTGTATATCCGAGGAACTTTCTCGGAAATTCGAGGTTCTAATTAGAGAAATGGTTTGAATTCGCTGTCCCGTAACAAGTGTTAGTAAAGTTGCAACTTTATAAGATAGATGCTGAAGGCTGATTTTGGAATTGTCCCATTTTTCTAAGAAGTTTATCACTTGTTGTGGGTCCCATGTACAATTGTATTTGGGTCTTGAAGGTCTTAATTTTGCTATGCCTTTCATATATCTGGATATACGATAGTCTTTTTGTATATTTTCTCCTAATATAAGTGAAAGAGCGGACCTATGCGAATTAAATGTACCAAACTGATAATTTTTCGCATCAAATAAACTTTGAAGAAATGAGATAACATGATTTACTTCAGCTTTATACATATCCACATCTGCTGTCTGGCAGTACTGCCACCAGAGCTTATATGTTCCCTCATACTGCTTCATTGTTGACGACGAAATTGAAGCTATGGCTGTATCGATGGAGCATTGTGGGTATCCCTTTATGAGGAGAGCTTGCCTGATAGTCTGGCCGCCACCAGGGAAAGTTTCTTTGCTAGAGGATGGTGCACTCTAAAAGGTGAAGAGAGTAAATTAATGTCAGGCGAAAAAATTATTTCGTCGATTTTCATTGATGTGAATTTCGGAAACCAGGGTTGTGAAGGCCACAATGGCACCACCAAGATTCCCTCAGCCTTATCAGTGATTATTTTTTGAATGGTTCGAGTTATCATTGAAAAGGGAGGGAAAGCGTAAAAATTCAAGTCTTTCCAGCAAATAGTAAATGCATCTATTGCTAAGGCGTCTGGATCTTGTTTCCACGAAATGTATGTTTCACATTTTGTGTTGGCTCTTGATGCGAATAAATCAATATCTGGCTTTCCAAATTTTTGTAGAATTTCACTAAAAGCAGTTTTGGAAAGACACCATTCAGTTTCGGGAGCAGTTAATCGAGATTGTTTGTCGGCTATTTCATTATTTTTAGAAGGAATGTAAGAAGCAAAAATCCAGATATTTCTTTCTTCGCACCATTGCCAGATTGTTTTAGTAATTTTTTCTAGATTTGTATGTTGAACGCTACCCATTCTGTTTATGCAGGAGGCGGCAGTCGTATTATCGGTCCTAATCAACAAATTACAAGTTTTATGTTGTTTAGCTAAGCATTTTAAAGCATAGTATACTGCTTTTAATTCTAAGATGTTGATATGAAATTTCTTGTCATCTTCAGACCACCAGCCGTTGGCTGTTTTTGTCTCTGCACAAACCCCCCACCCGGTAAGACTAGCGTCACCAAATATTTCTAAACAGAAAGTATCTTGTTTTATTTCATTGTATGCACTTAAAATATTTTTCTCCCACCATAATAGATCTATTTTTGACATAGGAGATAGTTGCATCCATGCATCATAAGATCCATTATTTTTATTTAAAGCCAAACATTTATCTCTTTCCAATGCTTTAGTGTAAACCCAGCCATATTTTATTGCTGGGCAGGCAGAGCTTAGAGAGCCGATAAATTTAGCTACGTCCCTAATTTTTATATTAGTTCTTCTTTTTAAAATGAGCAAAGTTTGTAAAATTTTTTGTTTTTTGTCTTGCGTAATCTCGATTGTCATTTTTATGGAATCAAAAACGAAACCTAAAAATGTTAAAGTTTTTGATGGGAGAATACAACTTTTGTCATAATTAACAATAAATCCTATAGATTGAAGGAGCGAGAGAGTAAAAAACACACTTTTTTCGCATTCTTCTTTTGTTTTTCCCAAAATAAAAATATCGTCCAAATAACTAACACAAACAATGCCATTTTTTCTCATATGTTCCACTACGGGCCTCATTATTTTGGTAAAACAGTGGGGTGCAGTTGACAAACCAAATGGTAAACATGTAAATTCGTATAAGGTGTTATTGTGATAAAATCTTAAGTACTTTCTGTAGGTTTTTTCTATGGGTACTGCGAAGTACGCGTCTTTTAAATCTATTGTAGCCAAAAACATGTTTTTCTGGACGAGCCTTAAGGCAGTCCTGTAATCTTCCATTTTGAAGTGGGGAGCACTTATAAAGGAATTTAATTGTTTTAGGTTTAAGATTAGACGCTTTTTACCATTTGGTTTGTCTCTAAGAAATATTTTTGAAATGAATTGGTCATCGCTTGGCTGGCAAACTTTTATTGCATTTATAGATAAAAGTTCATCCAGTGCAGCGGTTATTAGTTTGTTCTCTTCAGGGGAAAAAATTTGACAACAAACTTGAACTTGAAAGGGCTTACTATCAAACGGAATTCTATAGCCACATATATAGGATAGAATCTGTGCGTTTGTAGTCAGCTCCTTCCATTTTGACAAAAACAATTTTAGTCGTCCTGCATATTGACTTACCAATAATGCCTCCTCCTCTGGTACTGCTCTTTTTTGAGGTGATGGCCCCTTTGTGGTTTCACCTCCCCTCGGCGAACCGGCCTTTTCCTGTTTAAAGGAATTGGGTTAACTTTGAAGTTTGGTCTAACATTAGCTTCAGTATGCGGTCGCCTGTACGAAGAGTTAGTACTAGTAGAAGGCTGAGTTGTCATTGGTTCGGGTTTCAGGTCTTTTTTGGCTCTTTCAATTGATTTAGCCTCTTTAATTCTTTCCCCTATATCACTTCCAAAAAGAAATTGTACCGGAGTAGTGTTTGATACTAGATCTTTTACTGTCTTGTTTAAACTCGGCATTATAAGGTTTTTTCTCATGGTTGAAATATTAAATGACAAATCCGAAAAGATTCGGCCTGAATCTCCCAAAGAAATTAGTAATTGTTCCTTAATTTCTCTAGGAATATTTTCCTTATCTTCTAGGATAATATTCATGGATTTCCCAAGAGCGCTTATACCGACATTCAGTTGTTTTTGTATGCCTAAATGGGCTTCATCCCTTTTTATGTGGGGGTTTGAAAGCACTCCTACTACTTCCGGATTTACTAATGGAGCATTTATCTCCGGGCAATTGCTTGGTAAGGGATAACGCTCCAAAATTTTTTGCTTTTGATCTTTATCAAGGCCATGAGACAATATATGACCCCATCGTGTACATAGGGCTTTATGTAGTTCAAAAATGTTTTTATTTTTTATGTTAGGATCCTCTCCCAAAAACATTGAAAATTCATCTTCTTGCATATCAATTTCCAAAACAGGCGAGGCATTCTTGGACGCAGTCAGTTCGCGCCCGAGCTCTACTGAGGTACCTGTCATCCCGTCGCCGTCGGGCTCAGCAGCGGCATCGATGATTATTGACTCTGTTTCGCGCAGAGAACGGTCGTCAAAATCTGAAAATGTCGGACCGCGCGGGTGCCGATCAACGCTGCCTTGTCGTGAGCCTGAGCAGGACCTCACGTCTCGATGATGGTAGTCTCGAGCCGGGCTCCGGTCACGTGATCTGGCGGGCCTATGCCGCGATCGGGATCGTCGCCTTGAGAGGGACCGTGAACGAGACGTTTTCCGTTCGCCCGGCGCCGGCGAGTGATGGCGGTGTTTATGTACTTTCTTTTTCAATTTCTTGATCATTTTAAATAGCTGTTTTTTAGAGATATGCTCCGATTCGGAGCTACTGCTCTCGTTAGTACTTTCCATAGCTAAAATGTCCTAAAATATTATATGTAAATTAAGATTAGAGGGTAAAGCTTACCGTTTTTAATAATAGATCACTTGCACTGTCGTATCTGGAGCAAGAGCAACATGCACGCGAGACGCACAAACGACGAATGACTGGAATGCTGAATGGATGGCGGAAGGGGAAAAAATATTCTTTAAACTTTGTGCGCGATATAGCAACGTACGGCGTACTACCTGGTTAAGTGATATAGAGGATTGGACGCTGAAATATAATCTCTATCTATGTGCGCCATTGCGTTAAACTGTATCGTTTTTGCTACAAAATAACTACAACTAACCTAAGAGCCCTTTCAGACGAAGATACCGTATGCGAGATACAGTATCCGAGATACAGAATTACGACCGGATACTTTTTTACTTCTGTATCGCATACCGCCTTGTTATACGCAAAACAGACGCAGTGTAGTGCAGTTGTAATTATGGAAATAGAAGAGTGTATTGCGGTGTGGTATTTATTAAATAATAAGAAGAAGAAACTAAAAAGGAGACGTAGTTTGTGGGTTCATCCCATGTTGGGATTAAGAGAAAGCAAAGGAACGTATAATTTATTACATGAAGATTTGTTGCAAGATCCATCGAAGTTTTTCAATTATTATCGAATGTCTATTCAGTCCTTTGAGAAACTTCATAATATTTTGGAAAACAAACTAATTAAAAAGGACACAACTATGCGTAGAAGTATTTCGTCAAAAGAACGACTATCTATGACATTAAGGTAAGGAAAAAATACTTATAGATGTTTTTTTTCTAAATCTATTTGTATTTAAAGTAGTACAAGAAAAATAATAATTAATTATCAGCTCCACAATTTTGGTCTTAGCCTTGGTAATCAACAAGAAGATCGATGATGGATCCGTCTGTTGAGGTGGCAGTTGATTCAACGGAATGGGGTGAGAGGATGTGTCTGTTCTTTCATTGGATGAACATTGTAACTCAATGAATGAAGTGTTGGATGACGAATGGGGAGATAAATGAGAATGAGTGGAAGAAGGATGACCATAAACGTGCACTTGTGAAGATGATGACTTATGAATAGGAAGATGTTGTGTAGAAGGGGGATTAGGAGCGGATGGATAAAACGGCAAATGTTGTACATGGTTGTAATTAAATGCAGATTGAGTGGGTAATAGGGCAGATTTTATCGATTGTATCATTGCCAATTTCACATCCATCTTTTTGTCAATTGGCACTCTTCTAAAGTCCGGCAGTAGCGAAAGAAGGAAATGTCGGTCTCCGTCATTGTCTAGCATAATATCGTTTGTTTGTCGCTGTGCAAGATTTGCCTTTAATAGGCCCACTATCTCAGTGTTATGGTCGGTTTCCGATGCCACTTTCCTTTTTTTCTGTACATGTATAGGCCTTAAAGGAGTAACATACTCATTTTGTTCATGATCCGAAGCTTCTTCGATTGTCTGATTTTCCTCTGTAAAATTTGAAGTGGTCCTAAAACAAATCTATTAATTTAGTAGTTCATATTTTGATAAGTTAAATTTTCTTACTCTCTGTTTGAAGAGCATCGCATCAAAAAAGATAGCTGTTCAAAAAATATATAAGTTTTCCAAGAAGCTCCGTCACCACTTTTTTTCTTTTTTCTTTTCGCCAACTCTCGAGCAAAAGAATTTCTTAAATTCTTCCATTTTTTTTGAAGATCTTTCCCTGAAAAATTCAACAAGTTTTTTTTAATTATTTTCAGGTACCTGGCGACTGGTTGCTCCCTTACTGAGCTACATTATAACTACAGAGTTGGAATTTCAACAGCGAGCGAAATAATTCAGGAAACATGCAAGCTAATTTGGATATTTATGAAAGAACAATGTATACCAAAGCCCACACGAGAAAAATGGTTAGAAATCGCAGACGGTTTTTTGAAAAATGCAAATTATCCACACTGTTTGGGTGCCATAGACGGAAAACATATCCGGGTTATAAAACCACAACATAGTGGTTCTCTTTATTTTAACTATAAACATTTTTTTTCAATACAACTACTGGCGATGTGTGACGCGAATTATTGCTTCACATTTGTAGATATTGGAGATTATGGGAAAAACAGTGATTCAAGCATTTTTACGAATTCACATTTTTATAAGAACTTAAGCTCAAAAAAGCTAGATCTTCCCAATCCAGATTTTTTGCCACAAAAGAATGATTACAAAATCCCATATGTTATTGTTGGAGACGAAGCATTTGGTTTATCCTTCAATGTTATGAGGCCATATGGTGGAAAAAATCTGACATTAAAAAAGAGAATACATAATTACCGGTTAACTCGAGCACGAAGATATATTGAGTGTACTTTTGGAATACTTTCTAACAAGTTGGAGAATATTTTACAGACCACTCAACGTGTCAATAGATTTTGCTGTTGACATAGTTAAAGCTTGTACTGTACTCCATAATTTTGTTCGTGTACTAGATGGATATAAACATGAAGATGCCTTATCCGTCCAAGGATTTTATGATGCTAATGTTGCAAAAACAGGAGCGTGTTCTGCAAGATCAGCGACTGCTATTCGTGACTATTTTGCTGACTATTTCATGAATACTGATATATTACCATGGCAGAATAGTTGTATCATGTGAACTAGTGCTGTTGAAATTTTGAAATTTATTTTTATTCCTAATATTTCTGAAATATTCGTTTCTTATGTCTAAATTAGATTGTGTTTTAGTTTTAACTAAAATATAGTAAAATCTATCTATAGGAACTAAGTATTTTTGGGACAATAAATTTTAATGAAAATAATCCCATATGTAAACTTTTTAGCCTGCACTACTTACTTATAATAGTCTAATATGTATTTAAAATAAAATTATGTTTAATGTCTTACCATATTCATTCTGTTGTGCTGCTGTCATCTCCTCAAAATTGTCGCACATTTGTTTGGCAATTTCCACCCAGCGTTGCTGTTTCTTATTTCTATCGCAATAATCTGGGTGCGCTGTATCCCATAAACAGGGATTTGGTTCCACCAAACTTATAAACTTTTCATTATCAAAGACTGCACGTTCCATTTCTATATACATATACGTATTACATTAACGTCCAATTAAATTCTTAACCTCATTTATGTTACTACTAACATAAGAAAAACCCAACGACTATGTTCTACCGTATTCACTGATGAAAAAGTATGCGTGTCTGAACAGCTCCGTATAATATAATGGTAATTCTTATGCGGCATACGCATTCTGTCGCCGGCGGCCGAAAGATGAGCGATACCGAAATTTGCGTTCGGGATACTGAATGCGTCGCTAGTGCTGTTTGAAAGGTTCGATTTGGGTGTATGGAATATCTGTATCTCGGATACGCGTATCTCGCATACGGTATCCTCGTCTGAAAGGGCTCTAACAACACCTGTTTATATTTGAATGTGCTTTGAACTTCCAAGCGTTAAAGCGACATCTGTGATTAAGAAGCGCAAGGCTCGAATATACGCTCATTTACAGTTACCTGCTCTCTGTTCGATTTTCCGGACAATAGGCATATATGGGTTAAGGCCAAAAGGTATGTTATTATATTCAAATAATTCACCATCCAAACCTGAATCTTAAAAACTTCTTATAATGTTTATTAATGGGAACTAAATAGTATGCATTCATTAAATCCAGAGTGGACATGAAATAATTTTCCTGAATAATATTGCTTACTGTTCTTTGGTCTTCAAGCTTAAAATGTTCTGCTTTAATAAAGCTATTAAGAAATTTTAAGTTTAAGATTAAACGCTTTGAACCATCAGGTTTAGCAACTAGGAAAATACTTGATATGTATTCTCCTTTATAATATGTGACTTTATGAATAGTGCCAGAGGCTAATAACTCCTCAATTGATTCTCTTAAAACGGACTTCTCTGAATTTGACCAATGCCTCTCCGAGGGTCGTACCTTTTGGATTGGTTTGGTGACAAAGGGAATTATTTTCAAACCAGAAATCCAAGATAAAACATTTTTATCTTAAGTAATCTTTTGCCACATAGGTAAATAATTACGTAATCGACCAACTGTGCAACCCACCTCGCTCTGATCTATCGACCCTGTTTGTGGTATTGACGTACATCCTGTCGACGATGACGATCCTGGTCCGAGGTTCTTCTCTGAGTTTGATGAGGCCTTTGTTGAAACGACTGAGAGGGATTTGGAATCTTTATCGGCCGACCACCTCGACTGCTTCCCGTTTGTGTTCGATGAGGTGGACGGTAAAAGTTTACCGGAACCTGTTTGGCAGGTTGTTTAAATGAAGTACTAGGTTTAGATACCCTAGCAGGTTTCAAGTCAAAACCAGATTTTTCTATATCCTTGGTAGCTTTTATTCGCTCACCGAGATCCTTGTCAAACAACCATCCGTCAGCTGACACATTAGTCAGAGTTTCTTTTAGATCTTTACGTAAATTCAGCATCATCAAATCTCTACGGATTACAGAGTATTTGCGATGAAAAACTAACAGTAATCTACTAGCATCACTAGCTAATTCAACATAAGCCAGATCCCCCCCCCCCTTTCTTCAGACACAACTGCTGATGCTAGCTGACCCAATGCTGACAGTGCAGCTCCTATTTGGTTCTAAAGCCCACTGAGGTTTGAGTCTGTACGAGCCACTTGTTCGTTAATAGCTGAGGCAACTTCTGGATTGATACGAGGGCCTTTTAAAACTGGGCAGTTTTCAGGAGGTGTATATTTTTTAAGCAAGGTATTGACCGAGGCCTAACTTAACCCGTTACTTAAAATAAATGTTCATCTGCTAGCTGGATCCACATGAATACTTGGTCCAAGCACGTCTGCAGATGGTTTTTCATTTCCCAGAAGAGCTAGTATACTACCATCTAGAGTTGAACTTCCCTCATCTGTAAGAGAGGAACCATATTATATAATAAAAGGTCGTAGATCTAAAATATGCCATAATATTTCAGAAAACTGATAACAAATATGTGAAAATAATACAATAATTGAGGAGCGATCAGCCAAAACCAGATAAATCCATTTCATAAAGTTTCGAGATAATGGCAAAAAACCGTCCATTAGGGCGTTCGTAAATTTAACCAAGAAAATAAATGGTGTATCTGAAATATATGGTGATATAGACCTCTTAAATACTGCTTTTGTTTTTTTTTTATGATTAACATAGTAATTATTCCAAATTACAAAATGGATTTATCTGTTTTTGCTTGAGTTAACTAACTTTATAATGTAAAAAGTGTTTATTTTAATATAAATATGTTTAATAGCAAATCTTTTACGTTAATAAGGCATTTTTTAATTTTATTTATTTTTTTTATTTTATTCCTTTTTATTTATTTATTTTTTTATTATTATCTTAGTATAATATCTTTTTAAAACTTTGTTGTACTTTTGAAATAAAGCAAAGATATATTTTCAAACGTTTATTATAAATCAAAAAAGTTAAAAAAATAATGAACGATTTAAATAAATGTATTCCTTGGTCATCCTCGAGGCAATCGCAAAGTTCGTTCTCATTTTGTTCTTGAACTTCGACGGCACCTGCTTCAAGTGGAGCTTCACGCAATATATTTTTGTACCACGCTAGATTTTCATTATTCTCCCAGGTTGTACCAAACTGTTGAGCCATCAGATGAGCTAGGGATTTTTTCTTTTTCTCGGGAAGAGATCGCGTTAAAGGAATTTCTTTTAATACTATTGGAACTTCTTTTCGTTTTTTAAGAATTTGTTGGGGCACTTCATTTAAAATTTCCATTCTAAAATTCTGATGACATTGTACTTTCACGATATCTTGTCCTATTTTATTACGGGATTTCTTGATAAGGATTCGCTTGTAGTCGGAAATACCTACAATTTTCTTAAGACAATCTTGCAGATTTTTAATGTCGTAAAGATTCCACTCAATGCCAAGTTCTTTCACAGTTCCAAACTCAGAATATTTTTCAAAGTATTCGTCCTTGCTTAATATTGTTGGGTTTTTTCTTAAAGATTATTCCACACGGCCAAAAACCCTATCTGCTGGAAGGAAGCTATGTCCTCGAACTGGGAAAGTCAACTGGATTTCTTTTAAAGTGCCGGGGGGCCTATTTTTGAGCCAAAATTAAAGGGCATGTACAATATGCGAGTTTTTGTTCTGGCCCCCACAACCGTCACAAAATAGTCTTAATACTTCAATGTCTTCGAGTTCCAGTGAATCCAAATAATTTAATAGAGCTGAACCTATCTGAACTGACCCACGACCAGCTTGTATCTCAGTCCAGGTGTAAAATGTAGGGTGCCTTGAGTTCATGTCGACGCAACAAAATATGTAGAGACTCACTTGGTGAGAGTAAAAGGCATCTGAAATGGGGGTGCGAGGCAATGGTTGCACCTGCTGCATATCAAAGCAAAAAGTTATTGAATTTGGAGAATCTTCTTTTGCAAGTTTGTAGAAAGCGTCTGCCCTCTTTCTATGTATTCGACGTTCGATCATCAGGTCAGATTTTTTTTGGGATCTTTTTCATTTCTTATATTGTCTTTAAGACGTATGCATAGAGCACAACAGTCTGCTGCAGGTGATGAAAAACCTATATTAAATTCTCCACAAAAAATTCTAGAAAACATGGATAAACTGGATGATTTATATTGTGCAGGTTGCTGTGAGTTAAAAATCTTATGCAATTTGGCAATACTCAAATTAGCTTGCAAGTATATTCGGACAGACTTTTTTCTGTTGTAATGGCTTTCGGTACCCCTTAAATTTCCAATAAACTCTCTTATTTTATTTTTTTTATCTTCTGTTTTTCTGGAAACATGATCGCCCCCACGAGTTTCCTTTGGCACTCCTCCATCGTGAATAACTTTTGCAACGGTATTGACTCGATTTTATATTCCCAAACTTTTAGTAAAAAAAGCTTGACATACTCTTACGGATTTCTTTTTAGTTCTTGATTTGAGGTAATAAGTAATATTAAGGAGGCGTTTTTTTGGATTTACTTTGTTGGAGCGTTTCCTCAATTTTTCACAAACACCCAGCATGTGACATAACCTCATATCCTGCGTAACTTTATCAGGAACAGCATAAAGCGTTCGTCGAATAAGTCTAATATCAGCCAAGGCAACAGTACTGCACTTATAACTAGTAGTGTTATGATTGCATGGTCTCGTAAACTTTAATAGTCCAGGATCCTTATCAACATATTTTTGGTTGCTTGTTTAACCTTCGTTTCTCGGGAGTTTTGGGCTGTTTAACGCGGCTGCCAGAACTTCCTAAAAAAAGGCGTACTTGTAAAAATAAAATAAGCAATCTAATAGAAATTTAGTTACCTTCTCGAACAGATATATCAGTGTCTCTGTCGTGCTCGTCCATTCTCTATCACTGTAGGCGCACAGGCATATAGGGTGGAGCTGGACAGTGTTATATAGGTTCCGGTCACTCGCGTGTTTCAGCTACTCGGAGTATCGGTACTCGACTAGCGACGGACTGAAGAATATTATAATAATAATATTAATGAAGAAACTTGTCAGAAAACTACTCATACAGCGTATATTCGCGGAAGTGCACTGGTTTCCGTATCGCACAACGTTCCAAACGGTTACGATAGCAGAACTAAACTGAATGAATCATATTATTTTCCTATAACCGCCCGATATTCGTACGCGAGTTACGCGACCTTGACGTAGGAAAGAGCCGAAAATAGATTGGTAGGAATGTGCAAAACATCAAGAATACCATAAAAGAAATGCTTTCGCAAACGGATTTATCCCTTTTTGTTCGAAACAAGCCTATGCCATTTAATTTTCTGGATTTATCTGGTTTTGCTTGAATTGCTCGACTTTGAGGTCGATTTTGAATGGGATTTAACGAGTTTTCGTTGAAACTGATTGCGCCATCGGATTTATCCCACCAAAAGAAATAGAAATCGATCATAAAATTATTTTTGCCCAAAAGTGGATTTATCTGGTTTTGGCTGATCGCTCCTCAATTGTACTGGATTATCATGGTAATTTTGTGTAAAACATACCATAATATTTTCTATATTTACTTGCCTAACCGATCAGTTCATTCTTCATTTTTAAATTACTTTGCTGCCAAATGTATTGATTTCCACTAATTAGGATGTCTTAGTTTTATTTAAGCTTTAAATCAATAAATCTTCAAAACTACTGAACTGAAGTACATTAATTTTATATCATTATAAAGGAAATTGAAAGACCTTTAAAATAAGGTATCACTCGACCCCCCTTTCCATTTAAGATTTTGGGGGTGGTGTCACCCACGCTTAGGGGGCTGCACGTGCTAACATGATTTTTTTCCAAACTTGGGTCCCCCTTGAAACCAAAATCGACGGGTCTGAGCGTTTTACAAAAAAAACTGAGCTGCCAGTAAATCGGTCTGTTTCGTTTCCGATGCGCCACCCTGTATATATTATTCATATATAAAAAAATAAATCCAAAAAACAAATGAGATCAAGAAGAAAAAATGAAATAAACTAAATATGAGGAAACACAAACTTAAAAATCACATTCTCAATGGCAACAATAACAAAAATAAAACAAAACGGTTAATAAAAAAAATCTTTTCAGGGTGCCATGTCAACAACAGGGGAGTAACTGTTAGCTTCCAAAAATCGCTCTAATAAAACATTATGTTTTTCTAATGCAGCATTTCTTTTTCTTTGTTCTTCTATTTCCAATTGTCTTTTGTTAAAAGGTATATGATCTTTTCTGATTTCTTGCAAAACAAGGGCTTTTAGCCTTTTGCTTTGTGCCCCGCTTCTCACCAACACATGTTTTCTTTTGGGTACTGCTTGCTTTGATGGCAAAGGTTCCGCTTCCACATGTTCATTGTTGGAGTCTGCTATCCCTTCTGTTTCTTCCAAAATTTGTGGTACATGAATGGTCTCAGAATCTAGTAGCAATACGGGGTTAATATTTTTTTCTTGCCCATTATGTCAGCCATTATATCGGCATATTCGAACACTTTTCGACCCCTGCCTGTTTGTTGGTTATTATCAATAAATTTTTTATAATTCCTTTCTAGCACTTTCCAGCGATTTTCTCAATTAGTTGCTGAAATGCGAATATTAGTGGTCTGGATAATTTCTTTCGCGATTTCCTCAAACATTTTTTTTTAAAATCTGCATTCTTAGCGATCCTACTTGATTCTTATATTTTCTGTATAAATCTAACAATAGCAAAGTGTTTTCATGAATCCAATAATGACTCGCCTCTACAGGTGTCGGGAACGTAAAAAATTCACAAAGTTCCTCTGAAAAAAATTATTTTGTTGTCAGTTCAAAAACGAACTTATAAATACTTGCTATATATACCTCTTGCTGGATCAGTCATTATTTGCTTTTTGTTATAAGAAATTTTGGAAAATAAAAATAGCAAAATACAAATGTCAACTGTGGTTTGTAACACCTGTAAGCTGTCAATAGTGTCAATCAAATAGCAACTTGGCAACAGCACAAAATAGAGGGCAAATTGGCAACGGTGTTGAATCCGCAAACGGTTCCAAAGTCGTTCGCGGTAAACGAAAATCTCGAACTAGAAAATACCTGGACATGCGTATTTGTGTAATTCTGGATGGTTCAGTTTTAGTTCCGAACTGGTTCATTTTTTGACCCGCGAACGCAATTAATATTTTAGCCAATTCCTCAAATGATTTTACTTTACTTAGTATAAGTTATAATGTTTTGAATAGCGCCTCCTGAAACCTCTCATCAGGGATTTCTGTTGTGTCTGATTCTCTAAGGGGTAGAGGGTTACTGGGCCCAAATGGAAAAGGAACATGGGGGGAATGTGGGAATCATTAATAGGGGATACAACTTTTCGTTTTTTGTTTGGCTTTTCTTGCTGAGATAGGGGTCTAGCTATTCGCTGCGTGACTGTATGAAAAGAATTTGTTGATTGCGACAGTGAGAGGTTTGCTGATCGGCTGTGTGAGGGTTCTTTTGGAGGGAGAGGAGGAAATTCTGTATTGGGCATTTGGCCTAACACTTCAAAACGATTTTTTGAATTTAATATGGAGGAATATGTATTACCGAGTTTTCTTTTAGCCTCGAGAAACGTCAGATTAAAAAAATTGCAGTCCAATTAAATGTAGTGCAAGTAAGGAAATGCTTGCATAGATGTCTTGAACATTGTGACGTTCATCTATAAGCAACGTTTGCTAGGCTGTTCGTAAGTAAGCGACGTTCACTGAAAGGCAACGTTTGCCGAAAATTACGTAGAAGCGACGTTCGCTAAAAGGCAACGTTTGCCGAAAATTACGTAGAAGCGACGTTCGCTAAAAGGCAACGTTTGCCGAAAATTACGTAGAAGCGACATTCGCTAAAAGGCAACGTTTGCCGAAAATTACGTATAAGCGACGTTCGCTAAAAGGCAACGTTTGCCGAAAATTACGTATAAGCGAGTTCGCTAAAAGGCGACGTTTGCCTAACTTGTTGAAGGAGCGACGTTCGCTGGTGGGCAACGTTTGCCTCTAATTATCGTCGTTTATTGGGGTCACCCATTTCTTGACCTGGTCTGCAGCTACCACAGTTCGCTTTAGATAGATAGATAGATAGATAGTTTATTGTCCTATTAGATCATGTTACATGATATAAGACTTGTCAATATCAATTTGAAGGTCATATATATGCGTTTGAGAAAATATGCCGGAAAAATACTTATAATTATAAAATAAATAAGGACATTACAATTCCAAAACATTTTAACTCTTTTAACTCTTCTATCTGGCAATCACGTGATGTGCCAAAAAAAATAGCGCTTGACTGCCATAAATCAATCGTGTTCGCCTATGGACAGCACGGGACTGACTGTTCCTTTTTCAGTGTAAATGTTTTTTGTTTTGTGATGTTAAGTCAATGTCATAGGTTTTTTCTAACCTAGAAAATACAACATAAGGAAAAGAAAAATTATGTTTCTGAAAGTTAATTCCCAAATGACATTATATGAAAAGTATTGAGATTAAAACAAATCATTGTCATGCTATTTTTTTCAAAAAACACTGGATAACATTATCCGTATCGACGTACGTGGAGGATCTGAAAACAACTGTAATCATGTGGTATTCACCACACCAAATATGTTCCATTCTTTTATAATTTCTTAGAACATCAATATTTCTTATAGTGCTAATATGCTTTAGGTTGAAAACAAAGCTGTCCATGTTCATATGGAAATTTCGTTTTTAAATTGACCAAGGATTCGATGGTTAAAGTATGTCTACATATTTTATTAACACTCATCATATGTAAACAATATAGATTTTAATAGTATAGTTATATTAAAGCATTATTAACAGTTATTCAATATAAAAATTATACTGGTGCACATAACGAAGGTTATGTAATATAAATTGCTGTTTTAACTTGGCGCCAAGGTATAACTGCAAAAAATGTAGAAAAGACCTCCATGCTTTACATATTCAGTTGGAAATATACAGAGTATATAATATTTTTAATATCAAATTTCGTAATATGAGGGGTATCTTTGTTGATAACACTGGTCTTTTTTATATAACACATTAGAAGGGTATGACTTCTCTTGAAAGATTCAGCTTGGAATTTGCCTTACTTTTCTTGCACAAAATTATCAATGGGCACATTGATTGCCCCCAACCATTAAGAATCACCCTGTAGTTCTCCGATTTTTCAGAAAGCTATGTTATAAAGATGTACCCTTATTGATTAGAAAAAAATTTCATACATTCTGCTGTTCCATCATTTTTATGAATTATCAGTTGATTTGTCCATGCATTGCTTAGTTTACAAGACGTCTGAATGTTTGAAGTTCTTTTCAAATAATGATCTGAAACTTAATGTTCTTTTCCCAAAATAATAATATATCATAGTTTAGCAAAATATCTATATCAAGTTGCTGTTATACTGGAGTATTTAAAGTTCAGGTGGATTTACAAAAGAGAGCATAGCCCATCTGGCACTGCCCTGTGGGCATCCATGTTATTGTTCAATAACATATGGCTTGGATGCCATTGAAATTATAGTGAACTTTGCATATCAACCCTGCTGCTCTAAGAATGGATGATTTGAAATAAAGTATGGAAACTGTTTTCGACAAAAAGCAGTAAAAATCATCACTGGTTATTGAGCCATATAAAAACTTACGCATATTGTTTGCAAATCTTCTTCAGAGCTGTGCCTTTTGGTTAGATCACAAGTAATCTCCAACCTTCTGAAATTCTCAGGATCTCAGGGGTTGACACCGGCGGCTAAACTCTTCTGTTCAAAAAGTTATACGGAGATTTCAACAGGTACCGTAAAACGGGGTTACATTGCTCCAATTTTACGTACTATTTTAGGATTACTATAAAAACAAATCATGAAATTTAACTAAAACCCATTATTCGTTCAGTACTCACAGATTATACCTAATAGAATGAATATTTGTTGGAATTTGCATTTTAGATTGTCAACAATACATATTTTTTTTTAGTTGAAAAGTGGAGCAAAGTATATCATAGCTTGGGATTACTTTGCTCCATTTAAAAAAATATGTTATAATGCATTCACCCATATAGGTGGAGCAAAGCTACGTGGCTGATTTGTCAACTTTTCTCCAAGAAACATAACTATGAAGCAATTTTCTTCATATTTTCTTCCAAATATATGTTATTAAAAAAAATCGAACTTACGGAATAATATTCTTTATTTGTATGGACAACTCAAAATAAATCATACAAAACAAATAGAAACATAAGAAATAATTTTAACATAGATCAAAAAGTGGTGTTAACTCAGGAACAGAGAAGGTTCCTCTTTTGGAAATTTTCTTGGGTGTAGCAATGCCGCCTAGAACGTCAGACCAAGGGTACGTTAGTTCGTCGCGTCTTGAAGGCCATTTCCACATCTTAAGGGACTTTTCCATCGCGTTTATAGTAACTTTTTCGTCATCAAAAGCTACAATTTCCCCTGGGAATAATTGTCCCATATAGGAGAATACTACGAAACGACCCACTTCTCGGATCACGTTCGCAAAATGAAATTCATTTTTTTGACCTTCTATAAAACTCATAAATTCCTTTTCTATCTGTTGATCTTTGTCCAACTCTTCAAAGTTGACATCGTCCGAAGAGTTGTCATCAAATACTACATCTTCATCCTGTCTGGAAAAAGAAGCAGTAAGCTCGTCTAACGAGGTCTCTTCAGTAATTATGGATTCATCGGCGCTAACGCTTTTTCCAGCAGGAACGTTTATCTTTTTTCTACGCTTGGTTGTAGTGTTGGTTATCGCTGTCCGTTTCGCTTCAAGAGATTCTAGAAACGCTGATTGAACTACATCCGGATTGCAAGTACTCCTAGGGATACGGCTTAGGACTTCTTCGATATTCAAGGGAAATATACCGCACTTTCGGAAGCCAGCTTTTAAGTTAGCCTCAGCATATGGCGTAATAATTTCCATCAGCTTTAATAACAATGGAGGAAAGAATTGTTTCTGGATATTTGTATTTCGAACACCTTCTTCACTGTTTTTCCAATCTGATAAAACTTGACGCCATGCAATTTTTAAGGGTCGAAAAAATGCCACGTCAAGTGGCTGTGTCAGATGGGTACTGTTGGGTGGAAGACAAATTAAGTGTATTTCGTTTTTGCGACACAGATCGAGAGAATGTATTGTTATGTGAGAGGATAAGTTGTCACACAGTAGAACTTTTTTTCCTTCGATCTTTTTAAGTCTAGGTATCATCTGGCATTCAAGCCAATCTGTGAATATATTAGCATCAAACCACCCAGAGCTACTTGCATTATAACGGCACCCTTTTGGGCCGTTTTCTGCCCAGGTAGTCCACATCTTATGTGCCCTGTAAACTACATATGGAGGCAACAGTTCTCCAGCGGCGTTACCACAGAACATGATGGAGATAGATGTTTTTGATGCATTTCTAATAATTTCTGGATACTTGGTTCCTTTCTTAACCAGGACTTTTTTTTGCCTGGGTCGTCTGTGAGGTTGGTTTCATCGAAGTTCCAAACGTTTGATGGAGGAACGTCCTTCAACTCACCAGCCAGGTTTTCGAAAAAGCTTCTTAATAACGGTTCATCCACTGCAGCTCGTGTACGTTTGATATTTTCTGCAAAACGTATTGAAATTTCAGGATGTCTAATTATAAAGGCATTTGTCCAATCTTGTCCTGGTAAATTATCCTGAAAGGTTTTCACTTCCCTTCCGCAGCGACTTAAATAATTTTTGATGATGTGTCTCAATTCCCTTGAGTTGATAGGGAACCCATATTCTCCCAGCGCTACGATGCATTCGACAAATTGGTGTTCTTCTTGAGACGTGAATATAGGCTGCTTTCCTGGTTTTTTGCAATGGTTACCTTTGAGTTTATTTAAAATTGTTCTTCTTGGAATTTTATACTTTTGTTCCGCTTTTCTGTGTGATATGTCACCACTTCTGATTTCAGCCAAACACATTTGCAAAGTTTCGGCTGTATAATCTGCATACCTCCTCGATCCCACTCGTCTTTTGTATTTTCTAGGCATACCTGTAATGAAAGGGATCATATGAAAATCATAAAGCAGTCCAAAAATGATATACCGCATACTACAGAAACTATAAAGGAATTTAGTGGGGTTACTTTGCTCCGGATTGAATTGAAATTTTGCCTGTCTCAACAAGAAAAATATTATCTTACTATTTTATCGTTTATGAAGGGTAAAGTTATTAACAACATATTCTAAAATGATATTAAACTAGTACAAAAGTACTCACTTGCCAGATAAAATGAAAATATCCACTGCACACAACAAATTTCCACGTTCAAATTTCTACAGCTTTTTTTGCTACCGATTCAGCCTCAGTCTGTTTGTTTACTAATGCTGGTGGAATGATGGTTTAGGCGGGAGTCTTTTCCAGGGAGGTAACCTTCAATATTTTGCAGTTTGTTTGGTTGCATACCTATCTCTTCTAATAATAAAAGTACGAATAAACTCTTTTCGGTCAAGGGGCAAAGTAACACCCATAGGAGCAAAGTAGCCCCGGTTTACGGAATGATCTTTAAATGTTACACTTCTTAAATGAGTAACCGCTGCATTTCTGATCTTCCTCAGCATTTCCAGAAGCATATCTATTGACTGGAAACATCTTACTAATACTAAAGTTTTGATTTGGAGTCACTGACGTAGCTATAGCTCTGATAAGGGGGGGGTCCCCAAAGTGAAAAAAAACAGAGCTCTAACGCCAATTGGATCTATTACTTACAGATTAAACATTTCGATTATAACACGCAAGTATAGTCGCGGGTAATCTATAATATATAACTCAGGTTACTTAGGTAGGTGCCTTTAAATAAAAAGTTTAATGTATGTATTGCAATATTTATTCAAAAGTAACAAAGTTGAAACTTTAAAATAATAAATTTAGTCTTTTACGTTTTATTGCTAACTGATTGATAATTTCTTCGGAATCTAGTTGCACCGCCAGATCTCGGTGTACGCTCATTAAAGCCAGACCAGTAAGTCTTTCATCGCCCATTTTATTTCTTAGGTAAGTTTTTAACCTCTTTAAGGTAGAGAAAGATCTTTCAGGGGTTGCAGTGGACACTGGGAGTGTGGCTAAGATAATTAGAAGCTTTTTTATTGAAGGGAAGAACTGATCATCGCAGTTATCGATAGCGTCAAGCACAGTTGCAGGTTTTTGTGCTACAGATTTCCAGTGATTGTGCCATATCTCATATTCACTCAGAAATATTGTGCCTTCATTTTCTCCACCAAGAAATGTTTGTGCAATTTTTTCAAGATTTTCTTTTATCCTGGAGTCATTACTAGTTTTTTCAGGTAACAGCATTTGAATTCCTTCGATCGTCGATTCATGTGGTTTAAAACGAGCGTCGAGTTCTGCAATAACATGATCAATGAAAGGGTAAAACACATTTCGTCGGTAGTATATTTCGGCAGTTTCTGCTGCAATATTATTGCGCAGGGTTTGCCTTCCAGTTATTCTTGGCACGACTATATCGCCTGAACTCATCTGCTGCGCTTGCTCAAAAAGGATTGCAAACTGACTTTCGTTCCGAACATTTAGTAAAGTCGTTTTTACCGTTTTTGTATATTCGCAAATGTTGGTCAAATCGACATTGACTTGTGTGTGATCTTGTCTCACAAAGAGAGATAAGCGTTGAATGAGATGAGTTAATTTGATCCGCAATTTTCTTCAAAAGTCCGTCGCGAAGCGGTGATTGGCGAAAAAAGTTTATTACGCTCTTAATGGTTCCGATACAGTTACGTATCATTGGTATCTCACATGAATGCGCTAAAACTAAGTTAAGAACATGAGCAACACAGTGTACGAATTGCGCCTTCGGGTATTGCTCTGAGATTATTGTTCTTACGCCCCGTAACCGGCCGCTCATCACTGCAGCGCCATCATAGCCTTGACCAATCCATTTATCCATATCCAAGTTATATGATAAAAGATGTGATATAATAGTCGTTGCCAAAGCTTGAGCTGAAACATCTTCTACGTGAATGAATTCTAAAAAATCTTCCCGTATAACCGATTTCCCAGATGAGCAGTGTACATATCGTAAACATAACGCTAATTGTTCTCGCCGTGAAATGTCTTGTGTTTCATCAGCAAGTATAGTAAAAAAACCAGCCTCTTTGACCCTATTAAGTACTTGCGTTTGAATAGCACTACCACATAGTTCAATCACCTCATTTTGAATTACTGATGACGTATACATGGCTCTACTGTGAATGTTTTGTGTTAGTAAATGATTCTTGAGTGCTTCATCGCCAGATCGCGCACGAAAACGAAGAAGTGCTCTAAAATTACCATCATTATGTTCAGGCTCATTTATCCCAATTTCTCCAGAATCATGACTTCCTCTTAGTGCTATTGCTTGCCTTCCGCAAAGAATAATTGTTTCAACAATGGCTTTTAATCTTTTTCTGTTCTCTTCGGCAATTTTATTGTTTTCTACATTTAAGCATTCTGTAACATCAAGCGTTTTTCCTTCCATGATCCTTGCAAAATTTGCTGCCTGCTCAACAGCAAATTTGTGATACTTCGTATCTGCATGGTGATCAAAGCTCTCTAAAGCTTTCTTCCAGTTAATAAATGACTTACTAACAAAGGCTCCAAGTTCTTGATGACCACGACCACCTTGCGTTTTTCCAAGTAGAACACATACTTTGCAAAGTGCTCCCTGCATGAGGTTTGAATATACAAGCCATGAGTACCTGTTAGTCCAATGGCGTTGAAAAGAAAGTTTCTTTTTACCGGTGTCAGTGACTGGAAATTTAAATGTGTCCGGAGGAATCCAAGGCTCTTTTAATGCTCTCAGCTTTTCCTCGTCATTGCTTGGAGGATGACATACGTATTTCCCAATATCATAACCCGTCCTGGCTGCGGCTGCGGACGGAGCCGAACACAAATCGATCCTGGCTGTAACAAAGAAATATTTGACAAAAACTAAAAAGTTATGTTGGGAATAAGAATTTTCAACTAAAAATTAAGTCTACGCGAACACAGTCGCGGGCGCCACTTAGTTGTTAAATATAATTCTATTTCTCTTAAAAGGCGAAATGATTTTATGACACTTAGGTACATTCCGCATATACACTGAAATTACCATTTTTGTCAAATATTTTATGCTCACGGCAACACAATTGTTTACAAAAATTCTCTGGGAATAAAAATAAGAGCAGGATAAAAGTTTTTAGAGCGTCTATTAAATTCAAATAACTGGATTTCTTCCTAATTAAATAAATAAGAGACTTACCTTTCTTCACTTCATCGTCATCAGTATCTGTGGATGGCCCCGCTCTATTTATTCCTACTTCTTCAATTGACAAAAGTTCATTGGGCTTTGGACTCTCTTTCTTACAAAAAAAACCCAAAAGAGATACCTGATTTGTTCGTTTCATAGCGACACTTCCTTCTATATTGTATTTATAACAACTGCGCAACGCGTCAACGCGAAGAGATAAAATAGACTAGACAGTTCTGTGGACTAGACTACTAGACTAGCTTGGTTTGGTGCGCGCCGCCGAAGCGCGGGCGACGGTGGCGGGGGAAGTGCCCATCCCCCCTCACCCCGCACTACGCGGGCATACGCATCGCGTTTTCCGATACTCGCCCTACGGACACGCTCCACAGCAACTATCGTTTATTACAATCGGCGCGGTGCATGTAATTTTTTTCTGTTGGACAAGTAAGGTGGATATGAATGGGGGGGGTCCGGACCCCCAAAACCCCCCCCTTATATACGTCCGTGATTTGGAGTTTGTCTTATAGTATTTACAAATATATTAGAGCTCTGGGTATTTACATGTTTATACTTCGCAATTCTGAACAAAAGGCACATGTCTCAAATAACATAATAGGGACGTTATTCAATCAAAATGAAATGTTTATGTTAGAAGAAATGAAAATGGTTTGCGAAGTAAGGTTATTTTTGCAAAGCACACAGCTATAGGAAGAAATCCACCAGAAATTTGAATCTGACCAATCAGACAACGTCAGTTGTGAATAAGCCGCACATTTTTTGAGGGTACAACCACGTACAACATGATTGTCATATTGTGCACCCACAACACTGCTTTGTTTCCCATTCGCTCATGAGTTTCATCCCCTTGTACAGCGCCATAAAGAAGCCTTCCGGAAATTTAAATCTGACCAATCAGACAATTTTTGAAAGGTGTGACATGGTTGTTATATTGTGCACCCATAGTAGTGCTTAGTTTCCCATTCGCTCATATGAGTTTCACCTCTTTGAGGAGAGTATAAGGTTAAGTAACGTGTTTTGTGTATGCAACCAGACATACGCGTAACTGTAACCACTGTTGCAACCACTTGGCTGTTATAAGTTCACAGCTATATTCAATTTTGTAGACTTCTGGTCTCTTTAGAGTGGATTAAAATTAAGTGTCATGTAAAATTATGGCACTAATTAGGGTTTACAATCATATTTAAGCTGATAATGACTTGTATAAACTCGTAAATTTCAAATTGCCTAGTTGCGGGTAAACATTGCAACGTTGCCAAATCGTACTTGACTGTTATTACCATTATAGTCCGGTATGTTTAGAATATAGATTTTAAATCTATTCAAAAATATTTATTTTCACGCTTATCGGTATGATCCAATATTGGATGAAGTGATCGTCATAAAGCCGAAAATGGTATGTTTTAGATGTTTCGGTACCACGCGCTTTGTGGAGTAATTTTAAAATATCGAAAATTTTCAAAGGAAACGAATAATGATGAAAACAGTTGCAGATTTGAGTCCGAAGTATGAGCTTTCTTATGTAAAAGCCGCCAAGTCCGTATCTTTGTTATCTTCGGAGAATATAGACCATAGACAGTGAAAATAGATAAACCCTCTTTAATCTCCTACTATTCTCTATGTTTTAGGGCTGTGTTGTCAATCGTTCTTACAATTGTTATGACCTCATTAATTGTCATAAATCAAATCCAAGCGAATAACCAAAATGTCTGTGTTATGTGCCGCGGTTATAATAAATCGCTTGAATGCGTTGGTTTTAACCATGGTTTTGTTGCAAGTTGTTTATTTTAGAAAAGCGCGTATATGATCTCTGATTATTTTTATTATCACTTAATAATCGGTGCTTTTTCGTCTACAACTGTATATGGAAAGTTTAAATAAGAAACCTGTCATAATATTCATGGGAGAAAAGTTTTTCAGATTTTTTTTTTAATGATGGAACCATGGCTTTGTAGCTATGATCACTTTCAATTCTCTAAATTTTTCCGCGTGTCAAAGAAAACATTTATTGATTCAGCAGAAATGATGAAAAAAGAAATTAGCAAAACCGTATACAGGTGGATATCATCTAGTGAGTTTATATGGCCATATTTTAATATTCTTGTGGTATATGGCTACACAGGATACTTTCTTAAGCATAGGAACTACATTTAAAGTGTCCCCAACAATAATGAGTATAACTAATAAGGTGCTCCACTTTATGGTAAAACTGAAGTCAGCCTGTATCAATTTTCTAAAAAATGAAGCTGAAGTACAATAACAATATCCAATACCCGGCAAAATTCTAACTTGTCACATTTCAAATAATAACCAGAAATATAAAACTACTCTTGAGTTGGTTGAATACCACAATTTTGCGGTGATAACTATGACATATAACAGCTGATTCGTGACGTCACGGATCTTATAACCAAATTGATAACTACACTCGCTTGAACGGATCGGTAAATACCAACCCAAAATGGTAAATACCATTTCCATTTGGTTATCCGCTTGAATTTGATTATAGTTTGTACAGTTTTTCAGACAGGTTTCTGCTGTTCCGTGTCAGCGCTTTATTTTCAGGTTATGCTTTATTAGCCTGAAATTTCGTATCATTAAAATAAAACAACCTTACAATAGGACAGCCTTGGCAATGATATGGAACAGTAGAAATCTAATACTTAAACCTTTTTGAAGGATAGAAAAGAGTATGAAAATGAAGGTTATAACGGCGTTTTACGAGACAATTGTAGGAACTATTGATGATAGTGCCCTTAATTGCCTAATTGTTTTAGTGTGTTAATTAAATGCTATATACTGTATGTTACTTCTACCTTTCCCTATCCTTCTACCATTTTTTATTTTTTAATTCAATACCTTTAAAAGTATTTTCAAAAAGATCAGAACGTCTGAACGTCAAAGAATGAGGTTTGAGCAATTTTTACTTCTTTTTTTTCACTATCAATGGATCGATTTCTAAAAATTATAAGGATTTTTCGTTCTTGGTATAGCAATACCTTGCTTAAAAGAAAATCATTTACTCTATAAGTTAGGTAGTGATTATTCACAAGAAATTTGTACGCCTTGAGGATAGTAAGTGTATCTTCTAGTGACACAATAAACACCAGAATCTGTTTTAGCAGATGGAAAATTTCTATTGTCAAAATAAATTTTAATAGCGGTACGATGTGATCTGAAATATTAATATTTCGTAAAATTGTGACTGTTGAAAACAATTTGACGAATTTTCTTTTAAGCTGAAAGTATATACAGTATAAAGGATAAGGAAATTAAACAAGTGATATTCAATTATATATTGATTTATTTTTGAAAAATTACAATTTATTAGATTTTACGGCTAACAATTAATATAAGAAAATTGGAAAAGTGATAATGATATATGTATTCATTGTTGGGAAAATTAAAGTCTATTAGGCTTTATAACAATTGATATTTTTGAATGGCATTTTCTATCATCGTCGAAGTATAATTCGCTTAGGATCTAACATCAGCGTGAAGGTATTAAATGCCTAAAAAAATTTATTAAATATAAAATCATATCTGAAATGGCAAGATTGTATAGTAAATTGCTAGTAAAGTGGCATTTCGTTTTTGTTTTTGGAAAAAAAGATTTACCTGACTGCCTTTAGTTTTCATTAAAGTTTGCTTTTAAAGTTATCCTTCATCTATAGTTTATTATCAAAACAGCTGACAGGGACTGACAAGGACTGCGAGGAATATTGTTGATTTCTTTGTAGATAGATGGTCCACAGTGGCGCGACGATTTCTACTTCTGAACAGGTTGCAAAGTAGAATTCACATCAACATTTTGCAACATTTATCATCATTAAACAGAAATAATTAAAACAGTGATCTGTAACTGATTAATATTAGAAGAAAAGGATTAATTTTCAGCTCTCAGCTAGTCCATGTTCGGACTACTCAAGACTCACCGCGCGAAGGTGGCTGCATGTCGAGTCTCACCCTCCTTCCACCCGTCTTTCAGTTTCAATAAAATGATAAATACTTATTACAAAAAAAAAATGAAACTGTAAGACGCACAAAAATTAAACGATAAAATCTGATTATTCAAAAATTAAAAACAAATACAAAACGACTATGAATAAAATATATCTGAAAAAAAGGAAATCTAAATAAGTAAATAAATATTCAATTGAACAAATGGTAAATGGTTGTTGAATTAGGTGTTTTTATAATCCTTGCATACATTAAATTTGCTTCTCAATTTGTACAAAAAAAAAACATTTACCAAAACTTTAATGTATCATCTAAGTTACTTCACTCTCTTGTTTATTTATTTCATTGATTTTTTTGTTTACTTGTTCTATAATTTCAAGTATACTGAAAAAAAATTGGTAACGGAAAATTGTATTTTCCATCTATTTTTTGCAAAAAATGATTGCCAGTGTTCATCATTGTTTCTCATTAGACTTTGTTTCCTAAGTTATTCTTCTTCCAGTATTCATATTGCAAAAATTATCTAGGTAGATCATATCCCTTTTTCATATGATTTCATTTTCCATCATGTCATCTGAAAAAATTTTTGTTAAAATGTCAGATTATTAGAAATATTTAATATCTGTGTTTGTGAAAAAATATAGTTGATACCACTAAAATAATGTACATGAATTTTTTCAGAACAATATCTTATATCAAAGAAACTTACGTGAGATGTTTCAGACATTAGTATCGATTCTGTAATTGTATAGATATATGGTTTGCTATAATAATGGGTAAACACTATTTAAGTGGATTTTCTTTCTGTTGTGTCTTTTGTTTTGTAATTTTAATTTTACTGAAAGAGAAACCTGAAAATGGAGAAAATGCAGATGATATAGATTGCATTTTCCATCTGTTTTTGGAAAAACATGATTGATTGTCATCTTTTCCTATTATAGCTTGCTTCCAAGTTGTCTTTTTCTCAGCATTAATATTGCAGTTTATGGTTAAGTCGAGTTTTTCTTCTTTATAAGGTTTATTTTTCCAAGCTTTTTCTGTTACATTAGCATTATGGTAAATAGCAGACAACATATAATCACAGATTTTTAGACCTTCCAAATGTGAGCGTTTCGTAATTTTTGTGATCTAATGTTGGGTGCACATTAATCAAGTGGGGTTTTGCTTTTTCATATATTGTTTCATATATTGTTTTTAAATAACCTGAAAAATAGACCTAAAAATGGAAAGATTGTTGATGGTGTAATCTGCATTTTATATTGAAAAGTTTCTCGGACTATCTCCATCTGTTGTTGCAAACTATGCATCCTTTTTTCAGTATTAATATTGTAGTTTGTAGCTTGTAGGTTCATCGTTCATATTCCTTGCATAGTTTATTTTTTCAACGATTCATCTAACAAACGTAAATGGACATACATTGTTTGTCAACAAAACTGTTTATATCTTATAAATATGATATGGTTTTTGGTAAATAAGTCGTAGCTGATAGGATTAAAATGTACAATAAGATGTTCAGAAGAATATTTGTGAAAAATATTTTGTATAACTTACATAAAAGTCCTTATTTGACCCATTAGTATTGTATTAAGTATGAATACACAGAATAGCATATGGTAACATGATTTTGCTTGTGAAATTATGGTTCCTCCACTACCATTTATGTTGTAATTTATAGTTAGATCAACCTTTTCTATTTCCTTATGTTATTTGCTTTTGTAGCGCTTGAGTACAATGGTCTTTGAAATATATCTACATTCCATATTGTATAATATTTGTCCAAGAAAGAAATTCTTACTATTTTTCTTCATTTTACTGGATTATGCTGCTTTGCAATAGCTCATTATATACTACGTTAACAGTGTAAGAGTGATCATTTGAAATTTCAGCTACATATTGACGGTCACCTATATTTGTCATTTGAATCTTGAGGTTGTCAAAACTTCTTGCCCTTGATAGTGCAACATACAGTTGTCCATGATCAAATACTGTTACTGGTAAAAATAAGCCGACACTGCTCAAAGTTTGACCTTGGCTTTTATTAATTGTCATTGCAAAAGCCAAACGTACAGGGAATTGTCTCCTTTTCAAGTTGACTGGTAGATCAAGAGAGTTTAGAGCGATATTGTCAACTCTGGAAATTAATTCGATCGAAGGTTCATTATTAGGGTCTTCTACTCGTTTTGCTTCTATAAAATTTTCGTGTAAATTATGAATCAATAAGCGTGTGCCGTTACATAAACCTCTCTTTACATCTAAATTCTTCGTTAAAATGATAACTGCACCAATCTTTAGTGTAAGAATGTGGGGAGGAAGTCCTGGAGCATCCAAAGAATTTAAAAAGTCTTGTGGCCATGCGGAATCTAAATCATCAGCAGCATTTTCAGTTGTATCGTCTTCTCGGATAATACTATCAACACTTAGATATTGTCGTGATCTGCCTGGCAGTTTTTCTAAAACAACTGCATTGATATCTTTCACATGAATGTTTAACGGAGACAAAATCGCTTTTTGTAATAGTGTGAAATCGTGTTCAATTAAATTGCTACCGTAAATGCTTTCAGTAACATTGTCTACAATAATATGGTTAGGAACTTTGACTATAGTATCTCTGCCATTTTCTAAGTGACGTAAAATTTCGGAATTATTTCCTATGGTCATAAGCCAATCTTTGAATTCGTTTTGCTGTGGCAGTGCTCTAACGTTCGTAAGAAGATCGTACTGAACAAAGTGTTGCCATAGTTGGGAACATTTCACTGATGCAGAAATAGTTTCATTTTTTCCGGCCAATGGAACGATAGCGCATTGCCTGAAATCGCCTAGAATTACAATAATCTTGCCGCCAAATGGAATGTCATTGTTCATTATTTCTCTTATCTTAATATCTATTTCATTAAATATACTTTTATGTACCATCGATATTTCATCAATGACAATAATTTTTGAATATCTAATATTATCAGCAATCGCACTCTGATTGCGAATCCTTGACGTAGAATTTTCTAGAAATGGAACCGGTAACATAAAAGCAGAATGAATTGTTTGGCTATTTTTCAGTAAGCTGGCTGCGATACCTGTATAACACATAGCAATGTAACGGTGATTATTTCATAGTAGGTAAGCCAGTAGTGTATTCAATAGAAATGTTTTTCCTGCACCTCCAATTCCGTTAATAAAGAAAAGACGATGTGAAACTCTTTCATTTTCGTTTACGGCTAAAAGTATATCGGTAAAAATACGTCGTTGCTCTTGGTTTAACAGGGGAATGTTCCTATTAGCAATTTCTTGTTCTTCTGCTTGATCATAATCGTATTCATCTTTGATTAGGTGTTCTACTGGTTCAGTGGGTAAGGGCAGTTCAAAGTCTCTGTTTGATTTGCCTAAAAATAAAAATGTAATAAGTAGTTGTATAAACATTATATAATTATATTGAGTAATTACTTATCATATTAATATAGTTTAAATATAATTTTGTATTCATCTGAAATTGATTGGAACACAAATGCTTATGTTGTGTTAAATTAATAGCGATAAATATATTGAAATATTGAATTCATATTACATCACAGTACTGTTACATATAAACTGATTAAATTCAAAAATTTTCTAATACGAAAATAAACGATTTTAATATGCTTAAAAAATGTGAAATAAAAAAAGGTATTTGAAAACATAAGTATCAATTTTAAATGAATTAATAAAAGTAATTATTGATAGAAATATTAACCTTGTAGTGCTAGGTATCGATTGATGTAAGCCAAGGCATAGTTGTAGGCTAGGTCGTTATCGTTTAAGCGTCGTATATAATCTTCAGATAAATGATATTTAAATTGTTTCCATAATGCTAATGGATTTTCGATTTCACAAAACAGCAACATCTGTGAAAACATACGACGAAGAGCTCGTGGAAGTTGTACGTGTATAGCTTCTTGCAACGTGGTGAACCAAATACTATCGTCCGTGAGAAGGTTCATCGCAATAGCAGCGTCACGGAACGTTTCGTACGTACGGCCATGTACAGTACGAATGTCTTCGAATGATCTACATCCTGTTTTATGCAAAAGAAGTTGGCGAAGATAAAATCTTTCGCCTTCTCTAGGATGTACAAAATATAATCTAGGAATTATACGATTAAAATGACGTTGACGTTTTACCCAGATTCTTGTTTGTGTTATTTTCCACACATAGTTATAAGGTATCTGTACGTATGTGTATTGTCTAGCTTCTTCATCTTGGGTATTTAAGGCGAACCATCCTGTTAACGTAGTGTGTTGTGTTGCGGCCCTTTCTACGACGTCAGGAATGGTACTATTTGTATTAAAATAGACTTGTTGCATATTCGGAAGATGTACAGAGAGTTTGATAATAGCATGAGACACATCGTGCATTTCGAATGTATAAATCCTCCACATCGCCTCAGGCGCGCTAACATAGCGAACGTCCAGAAACATTTGAATTTCGTTGTACATAGGTTCCTGGATAGTTGTTGATTGGCCGTCTGCTTCCGGTTCGTACGACAATTTGAGCTCTATCAAATCCTTTGTATATATATTTAAATAAATATTTTACGCTTTTCATTGAAGAGCAAGCCTCCACGTTAATGTGAGCTTCATATTTTTCAAGTAGATAAGCGTTATATGGTACAACCCAACCAGTATCTACTGTTCTTCGACCTATATGTATAGGTGTTTCTATTGGCCGTCTTTTATATAACGGATATCCAGAGGGATTGTATAAGGTATCTTCACGCAACGATTTCGGGAATTGTTTGCTGCAATGTCCTTCTTCATCTAAGCATCGAGCACTGGTACAAGGTCCATGAAGCATATGTACTTTGACCAATTCGTACAAGTTGGCATGCGCGATAGGGTCGGGAAATTCTGCTGAAATTAAACGGTCGATTGCTGCAGGGTCCAATATTTTGTCTGATTCTTCTAACCAAATCAACATATGCGCATGCGGGAGTCCTCTTTTCTGAAATTCTATTACGTAAACGTAAGCAACACAAACTCCCATAATATGTCGTTTATCAATATCTTCTATTAATTCCTTTAATTTGCTCTTGAACACTCTGGATACAAAATCAGGTCTATTTGAGGAATATTGATTTGCATCTAAGTTATTCCTGATTTCAGGCCATGCAGGATTGCAAGTAAATGTTAGGAAAATATCTGGTTTCCCGTGTTTTGTGACTATAGACATGGCATCCAAATAGTTTTGTCTAAATGCGCGTGGACTTCCTATGAATGTCGACGGTAAGATGAAAATATTTCCTGATTGATAATGAACATCTAATTGTCTCGAGTCTAAATAGTTGATTAATCCTTGAAATATTTCTTGCCTAATACGTGGTTGATTTTCAGTAATAAATTGTAGTCGACTCTGTTCGATTTTTACGTATGCATCTACGATGTACTGTTGTGTCAGCTTGCCTGCCATTACAAATTGGTTGAAGGTATTTGGTCGAACAGCTATTCTGAAACTATAATATTCCAGTAACGATATATAGCCTCTTCTATTTTGATGTGGTGTTCTAGACTGCCATCCTGCTTCACGTCTTGGATGTAATAGAGGATAGGTCATTGCATCGCAATTGACGCTAAGATATGGTAATTTGTGGATAGTCTGGTCGTTGTCTCGACAATAAACATGTAAACAACGATCCAGGGGCGGTCTCCCATCTTCAGAAATAAATACGGCTGCTATTTCATTGGCCTGTACCGCGCCATATTGTCTGAAATTAATATCCCGAGCACGGTTGTTATTGATGTACAATTCCAATGTTGGATGACGATTGCTTTGTTGTTGTTGTTGATAGACATCCTTAAGAAATCTATATGCTTGAGCAAATGGATTGTGATTGTACAAGTAATTAGAGATGAGGTCGACGATTTCTCGATTTAATTCTGCTCGATTTTGTGGGCCAGCAGACCGAAGTTGATTTGCCAGTTCAGTATCCAAAAAATATAAATTGCCATATTGTCTGCGTTCATTTGGAATATTAGTCGAAACATTTGAGATATGATGTCTTATTTCTCCTTGTACCTGGAAAGAAAAGTAAATTCATTATAAAAGGGATAAAGAATTTATTAATAATATAATTGATTTAAAAAAAAATGAAATAATTGGTTTTTAATGTATGTGGATAAAATAAATAGCATTGTAGAAAAAGGTGTAACAGATTGAAGGATATGACTTATACACACCTTAGGAAAAACCATTGTTATACATGGGAAATCATTTCTTGGCAACAGCGCATCGGCTCATCTACTTTCATCGCTATTCGTACATATTTCCTACCGTTAACCGCAGACCTCTATCACGAATGAGAATTATAGGCGGATACGCTGTGTTACCAATTTGAGTAGAGCTTCCCGAATTGTGTGGAATTTAGAGTTAAGTGTTGATTCATTCAAGCTTTTAATCAGCATGGCCTAGACGTTAGAACTTCATAAAGATAACATTGAAGTTGAATGCTGCTGGAGTATAGTGTTTCGAATATTCAAAGCGGAGCGGAACACTATACTCGTTCAATGGGTCATCAAGCCACAGTCTTTTCAACAAAGAAATTATTTTAGGAAAATGCGTTATATTTTTACGATTTTGTCGTCACCAAATCTCTGTTTCTCAAAATGCACGTCTATTGTAGAATTTTCAGCAAACTAAGCAAGAAACGTGATCTAGTATTTACTCAACATTACGGATTTCTCGAAATACATTAAAAAATGTGACCTAGATACCTAACTGCCCCAAGCTCTTTAAATATAACACCTTAAACCAGGGTTACCAGGTGCTCAGTCACGCTCATTGTCATGTTGTACTGCGCAAGTCAGCAAACAATCTGGCGTAATAAACGTTAGGAATCATCAGGTATTGCCAGATTCCCGAATACCGGGCACCATAGTACCCGTTATAGTTGTCCTTCAAAGTTGTCAAATCGCCCCTATGGCGCAAATTCGCCACACCAGGCAACTGTGCTATAAACAAACCCTGTTTATCACTACTATTTGATAGTCATATGGTAGTTGTAGCCCTATCTAGCGGTCCATGATTTCTCTCAATACTGTTGTATCTCTACTGGCAACAAGAATAGGGATTACAAAATCATTTATACAACAATATACAAACATGAAAAATATGATTTGAACCATGAAACATTAATACAATTTTTATAGTTTGAACTTTTTTCATTTTTGGAATACTCTTATGTGGAATCCGCAGCAATTTTTCCCGAAATTTGGGTAGACTTAGATTTCTTAGAAATATGACATATTGGTATCGGCAACTCTGCGAATGGGAGAAACAAATCGCATTTGTTGAGCGCATCCGTCTAAGCGGTAGGCGCCAGCGCCCGTTCTGCCATCTTTCTCTTTTATCACTCTTCTACTTTACCCCGTTGTCCTTCACACTCCGACGCTGCCACATAGGATCCTACAATCGAGTGTCTTTCACGCACCTACATACTTTTGTATATTTCCATCTCTCTTCCTCATCATAATGTATAATAGTGGTTTTTCCCAAGGTGTATATGTTCAGATCTGGGTAGCTACTCCAATAATCTCTATAGCTGGGACTTCTTTTTATCCCCATCAATAAATTTATACCCAAGAAAACTTTCAGATCCGATATATCTATGTTTCTAGGCTTATTAGATGTTTGATGACAATATAAAGTAGTCTGAAAAACTATGTCTTCTAATACAGCGTCGGTGAAAAAAAGCTGAAGTAGTTTTCCCGGGGTAGGAGAATCCAAATTCTTCACTACATCAGTTATTCCTGAGTCAGCAATGAAGTCTCCTGGTTCTTTTGGTACTCCGTCTTTGGTCCAATCACGAGTGTCTTTATTTTGTGTCATCTTCATTTGTAAAACTGAGAGAGGACAGTCGCAATCTGAATCTGATTCGCTGTCAGACTGCAAAATCTTGGCAAAGTCAGTGTCGATATTTTGTAATTCATCTTCTGACTGGTCCACGATTGATCCACAATCTGAAGGTATCGCCTCAGCATCAACACCACAAACAATACGTCAACTTATTAACCCTTAACCCGCGAGGTTGATTAATTTAACGTTAATCGCGAGTATCGGTATGTGATACCGCTTTAGATTTTTACAAATAAAATTAAAAGCATAGTGTAAATATTTGAAGGTTTCATTAATTCTTTTACAAATTAAAGCAAAACAAAAAAAATTAGCTGAATAATAATGACATTCTAGACTAAAGATTGCTAGTTTTCAGCGATCTTTTTGGTCGGCGACACAGTTCTTACACATTTTGCTGGCATGCTCGAGGCAAATCGGTTGCTGACAAGAGTAGCATTTGTAAAACGTCTTTCTCTTCTTCTGGTATGGACACAAAAACCAAGTTTTCTTCACTTCTAGGCGCTCGTCTCTTGACGTTGATGGTTCGTTCCTAAGATCGTCAACTCCAAGAGCGCCTTTGATAAGAGCTTGAAGTTCTTTGTTCAATTTTGGATTTTCAAACCTTTTTGCCATATGAGGCTTTACGAGTTGCATCGCTAGTTCTTCAATAAACAGACATCTGGATTTTGGTGTAATGTCCTTGTAATGAAGAAATACAACGAATGCATTATTGGTAGATATATCTATCAGTCTATAAAATATTGCTAAGGGCCAACGACGAGTACGACGGCCGGAAGAATAATTGGCGCATTTCATGTCGAGAGTATCAACGCCACCTTTAGTCGCATTGTAAAATGATATTATTTCAGGAAGAGCGTTTTCGGTGTCGGTTGCTTTAGAATGATGGGCTGAAGACACCAATAATACAGCTTTGTTTTTTTGGAACGTGCGATATTAGTGTGAATGCATCATTCGAGAACCCATATAACGTAGATACAACTGGTCGTTTGGGCGATGTTAAAAATTCTGGAGGTATCTCCCGCTTGTTCTTCTTCAATGTCCCTGTGTAAGTTAAGCCTTTTTTGCGTAACTGATGAAGCAGCTCTATTGAGGTAAACCAATTATCAGCAGTTATGCTTCTCTTTGTTGTTTCGATAGGCTTGACTAACCGAGGAACTGCCTGTGTTGGCTTCTGAAATTTCCTTTCTTCGTCGGGTAATGTTTTTCCATCACTATCTTTACCTGTGTAGATATAACCGTTGTAGAAATAAGAGTTTCGAGCATCCGTCAGACATTGTAATTTGAGACCATACTTCGCGGTTTGTTAGGCATGTACATTTTAAAAGAGCATCGCCCTCGGAAACTGATAACATTTCGTCGATGCATGTTGTTGGACACAAATTGAAGCATTTTTGTGAATTATCGATGAAACGGTTGAATAGAAAGGATATTGCCGCTGCTGAGTCCTCCTGACACCGTTGGACTCTAGTGGAAGCATCATCAAACCTTATACATTTGTGTAACTTTTCAAATCTTTTGGAAGACATTACTGCTCTGAATATGGGACGACCTGTACACGTATTTGAGAATAATGATAGCATATTTTCATGGTTCGACCGGAATATAGATGTTAGCATAAGAAGACCGATAAAAGCTCTTATTTCAATACGGTTAGTATTCTTGTAATCTGTGGTATTAGAGTTCTTGTGGGTAGATCTTACTATTTCCAATTTTTCATTTGTTCGCAATATGATTTCATTTAGCGTCTCGTTGTCGAATAAAAGGTTCCAAATTTCACCAACATCAGGAGTGTTCCCCAAACGACTTGCTGCTGGTTTAAGACTGGGCAATTTGATTATAATGTTATGTTTGGGCGTTCTTAGAGCTTTATTGGGTTCTTCGGACTTCCAAATATAACCGTTTTTACCTTTATAACTGACTACACCTGTAACATGATCACTTTGTACATTATCGAGGCTCGAATTCGAATATTGGTCTACCGACTCCATTTCTAACTCACTGTCCTCTTCTTCATGATCTGAAGGAACATATTCTTGCTCAGAAGTGGAAGAACCGTCATCTTCTAGTCATCTTCTATAATTTCATCTTCCTGCAATGTTTCGTCATTGGAAACTTCTAAATCAGAAGAGTCTTTTTGTTCGTCATCAGATTCCAATTCATCGAACCATTTTCTGAGCTTTTGCTCATAGTCTTTGTCACCAAACTTTACTCACCCTAAGCCAGATGCCATGATCTGAAATAAAAACAAACTCTGGGAATTGATTTACAAAATCACTGGATTCGAATATAATATGTTATTTCAATAACGCAAATTTTGAAAAAAATAAATACCATAATAACATATTCCAGAATACGAAATATTAGCAGACAGCTCTCATACTCAACTCTGTGAAAATTTATTTTTTTACGCACAAATATATATTGATTCATATAAAATATTTTGTCCTAAGCACTACTATTTATTTTTACCTTCTGAACTGTGTTTTTTTCGTTTTAGATAAGAAGCCATTTTTCACATAAACAAATAAAAATAAGATAAAAAACTTACCACGACTCAATCACACATTAACACATGAGATCCAATAAAACTAATCTTTCCTTGACTGGACGTGTATCCAAAAGTTCTACGCTATACGCGACTATCGGTATGACACCGCCAGGCTTCAAAGTATCACTTCCGCAAATCGGTTTTGAGAATACTAATTACAGCGCCGCTTTTCCCAATTCGACATCACACCATATACTGAAGCTAGGTGGGGGCTCAAGGTCATGAGTTCATTCTGACCGCAGTTATGGAAGGTTGAATTTTGAATATCGGTACAGGATACCGTGCTCGCGAGTCAAGGGTTAACATAACAGATTTATAATATTCCATAAAAACTATATGCTACACACTCTATTATAATATGTTTATGAAAAATATGCAACAATTTCATGTTTTTTACTTACCTGTTTTCAATTTCTATAAGAAAACTTTACTAATGACGGTTCGCAAGAGTTAATATAACCTTATACACATACGCACTGAAATTTCACGGTTCACCATTACTAAAATGACCGAATACACCTTACAGGCAACACACAATACACCAGTCCAGAATTTCGACCGTCGCGCGGTATTCTAAAATTATTTCAATAGGTAGTCTATTTTGTGTACCACTACCCCATGTCATGCACATTTATCTGCTTACATTTTATGTACCAGGACCCCTAAAAGAGTTAACAGGTTAAATCACATTATAGGTACTATAAGAATCGTAATGTGTTCAATCTGTAACGGTGAAAATATATACATAGGTATACAGCGACTTTTTTTTATCACAAAAAATGTTCGTCTAGCCGGAAAAAATCATTGAAGCTGATACAAAGAAAAGCGGTAGGAGAAACTGTTAGAAATAGGGTAAAATACCCAATTGTTGGCACTTTAAGGGATCTTTAACATTGAATTAAAGGCTACAATGTTCAAAAGTCAAATTATTCCTCCATAAGTACATCTATACATTGCTCAATCATGGCAGTTTTCGGAAAAATCAAAAAAATTGCTATTAGAATATTCAAAATTGATTAAATATGAAAAAAGCTGAGGGACTACCACTTTCCAAATGTTGGCACTTGGAATCCAATAGTTGGCATATCTTGAGCCATAATGTTGGCACCCTCTTAAGCTAGATTTTCTAGAGCAATTTTATTGCATTAAGGGATGACATAAAATACAAAAATACTATTGTTTGTTTATATTACATTTGACAGTACAAGGGTGGCATTGGAAGTTTTCTGTATACAATTTTCTTTTTTTTAAACATTGCAAATGATACATTCGCTTGCATGTTTGACACTTAATGCCTATATTGATTTTGCATATATTATTTGTGCATGAAAAACACAGTCCTGCAGATACTGTTATATTACTTTCAAGGTGAGACTCAGATTCACTTTCGTTCATCAGATCTGTCAAATTTCTAATATGTGTTGCTTTCTTTATCGTTATATTATTTGTTGTATGAACTCCCATTGGTGAACGTTTTTCTGAAGAACATATTTGGTGATTTTGCTCCACTCCTAGAACGGGAGCTTTGGATAGATTGCGACCATTTTCATTGCCTCCAGGAGCAGTTTTCTTCTTTTTTACAGTATTTTTTGACTTTTTCTTTTTTGCTAGTTCTTCCGCTCTCTCCGTGCGTTTTCTTTTGTTTTCACATTTTGTTTTTTCTTTGTCTTCTTTAATCTTGTGTTTTTCTTCTAGATTCTTTTTATACGCAGAAGACGATATGACGAAACTAACGCGTTCAGTTTGCCTGGTACCTTTTCTGACAGGAGTTTCTGGCACACCTAAAAATCTTTCAATATGGGCATTTTCACCATTATGCTCTGGACTTGAAGTTGAGCTCTTCTGTAGTGGATTATCACTTAGTTGCCTCGCAGGTTCGGTGGTAATGTTATCAATTTCTGCGTGAATACCACTTCCCATTAATGATAAGTTGATGGTTTCTAATTCACTCTCCGTAAGAATATTTTGATTCAACATATCACCATCGTCATAAGTAAAATTCATAAGCAGTTCGTCACCATTTACCTCAGCGGGTTGTTCTTCGTCCAGCAATACAATCGGCATGTTATTGATCTCCTCCTGAGAGAAAATACATTTCGCACCGGCTGTATTATTTTTCTTTTGGCGTTCCAGAATATTATATATTTTCAATAAAATGTTGAAATTCTCGCAGTCTGAGGAGCAGCAACCACTAATAGCTCCATTTTTGAGTCTTTTTACTAATAGTTCATCGAAAACATTCCATATATCTTCATAATTACTAACATTGGATTGTAGCTGCTCTTGTCTCTCTGATATCTCAGTCCTATTTGTTTTTTTCCCTAGGCATTTACTATAATCCGGAGCATCTGGATTCCATGGGAAAAGGCCACATGCTCTGAATCCATTAATGGTTGACTCTTTGTTAAGTCCATTTATCGCAGTTTCTAAAACTGGTGCGAAATGCTCTTTGCCAAACTGGCAGTAAGGATTTTCATGTCTCCATTGTAGAACAGATTTCTTCCATAAGCTTTTGAGTGGTCTAAAATTGGCTACATCAGCTGGTTGCATAATTCTTGTGCAATTTGGGTATAGTGCAACCAAAACAATTTCGAGTTTGGTACAAACCTCACTCAGCTCCAGAGATAGGTGTGATTTATGACCATCAACGAAAAGAATGATTGGGAATCTAGTATTAATTTGTTTCAAATGGGGATATAAATGGTTTTGTATGTAATCAATGAATATTTCCGATTTCATCCAGCCATTTTCACTCAAACCTATCGCCCATTCATCCGGTATGACATTTGCTACAGCCGACTTGAGCCTCTTGTTTGGGTAGATGATCATTGGCGGCGTTGTTATACCTGAGGCAGAAAATGTAAACATTGCCGTCAAATTTTCCTTGGCTTTACCCAGATCAACCTCGTAAACATTTTTTTTACCTCTTGGTGCAATGACCTTTCCCAATTTTGGATTATACTGAAAACATGTTTCATCGCCATTAAATACCCGACTTGGGTCCGCCAATATTGAAAACAGATCCTTCTCTTTAAGGTACTTCTCAATATCTCTGAACCATCCTCTTATATTATTTTCGGAAACAACTGAGGAAGCAGATGTAATCCCTTCAGCAGTGCGCTCACTCAGTTGTGGGTGTCGTTTCATGAATAATTTGTAACCAGTGTATACCGGGAAAGTTATTCGTAAATGGATTGTCCCTTTCATGATTATCCAGGAATGACTTCACTGCTAGCTGTAGGTCAATCTGTCTTCTTGGAAAACCCTTCCTGTCATTTTCCAATATCCAATTGACAATTTTAGCTTCCTCTTCTTCAGTCAAGTATGTTCTGCGACCTCGTTTTGCTCCAGCTAACTTGTTTTTCAGTCGAAACTGGATAGTGGCTCTAGGTATCCCGTACTTCTGGGCAACTGATTTTTTTGATTCACCAGCCCGGACATCTTTGAGTGCCTGTTGTAGAGTCTCCTCTGAGTAGGTGGCAGATTTTTGCCTGAAAATTTGAAAATTTCTATTAATCCTTGAGATAGAAAGTTTTGTACACCTACCTGGATAGGCGTGCTAATAAAGCGAATATCGTGAAATAACTGAACCAAATCTTGGCATCCCCAAATTTTGAGAATTTTACTATTTTTTTTCAAAATCAAAATTATTTTAGTTTAGTGAACTAATTAATTGCCTACCAGAAGCATTTAAATAATTTTGTATCATCCAAGTAACGAATAAAGCATCAGCAAACATGAGTCTACAGATTCTAGTCAAAGTAAGCGATATGTATGATTAAATACAGACTGAAATACTTCATACTTACTTTTTTGTACACCATTTCCCTACTTTTCTTTTCATAATCGATTTATCTGTGTGATTGCTCCTATTTCCGTTCGACATTTGGAAAATAAAGCTGAAAGAAAAAGGTGCCAATTATTAGGATGTGATAATCATCAACAACCAAGCCGTCTAGCGCACGGTGTCAACATTACGGAAAATCATTATTTTTGTACCAATACTTGGCACATTATTTTTTCGGTGTTTATTAAGAGAAAATCCATAAATATATCAAATTTATGTTATGTAAGCGTAAGACAATGTGACAAACATGAAATATTCACTTTTATTTGCCTAGAGTGAAAAATTATGCAGGATGAGATACCTACCTTGTTACAAATTTTACTATTTTCAAGCGACACTGATGATGCGCGTCTGGTCGGAACCATATATCACACACAACTGATCCGTCACAATGTAGCCAAATCGTTCGATATTTGTGGAAATTGTTGCCAAACCATAAAAAAGGTGTGAAATCCCCATATATTCAGCAATAACTCGAAAATTCGAAGTAATTCAGAACTAGTGGACTAGTGCCAACATTTAGACAGGTGACAACATTTGGGTATTTTACCCTACATAATATATAAAAACAATAAACATCGAGCAGTGAGGACAAATGGTTTAAAGCTTAAAAAGAAATCATCCATACTTTCGTTAGAACTCGAATAAAAAGTGAAATTATAATACATTTACTCCACGATAATAGACAATTCACTGATGAAATGATTAACAGCTTAAAAGAATTAAAAAACAGATACTTTCATGTGTTAATAAAACTCATGTAGAGAGTAAAAGCATTTTTCAACCAGATATTTCCTGAGATGGTTTTTCAGCGCAAGGATATTAGTGCTTCTCCGCAACTCACTCGGCAGATTATTGTTTATAACCTTCTCGCAAGTCTTCAACTTCGTATCGATCGTTAAATAATTTTTTCGTAATACGAAAAAGACCCTTATATTTTGGGTGAAGTTTATGGCTAGTTCCATCGATGGTATATTCATTATCAATACTCTGATCAAGTCACCCTCGTCATACTTAGTGGCATCGCGTCGTGTTTTATCATAACGTTCTCTTTGTTGTTTTTGATCTTCCTTTGTATGTCCTGAAATCTTATGCCTAACCTCGTCTAGGTCAAGTCTATCTATTTCATTTTCAATCGCACTCAAAATTGTTGCCTCGATTGCATGTTTAGAATTGTAACCAATCAGGGCAACCATAGGAGTCGAATTGATGCCTTTATTAAAGCTCGTATTCAATGCACTTTGTATTTGTTTCACGTATCTATCCCAATCTCGCTCATCTTTTCCTGCAGCAGTTGTTGATAGACCACTCACGATTGTTTTGTTGTAACGTTCACATTGACCCTTGGCTCTAGGCGTGGCGACTGCATTTAGGACGTGCTTTAGAGCCGTTTTACACACAAGAGAATTACTCCGAAAATTATGGTCATAATTATGCCGAAAATTTTTGCTGTCGTATTACACGTAAAAGAATTCTTGTGAAAATGTTCATGGTAAAAATATAAAACCCGTTCTATATTATATGCGCGAGAATCGGCGCAGACGGTTATTCCCGTGCATGTCAATATCAAATGTCAACGACAACAACAACAACATAACCTCACTTAACATTTGTAGGAGTGGTCCTGTTCGAGTCGTACGAAAGAGCGTTTATTGTTATTGTTTATTCATAATGTCGTGGAATCGGGAAGAATTTACAATGTTGTTGGAGGAGTACCAAAAATGGCCAAACCTGTACAAGGTGAAGTCACCCAATTACAAAAACAGAAATTTGCGGCGTCAGGCGCTGGATGCGATAGTCCAAGCTTTGAGAAGTTTTATAATATTAACCAAGATCTCGATTTCAAAAATAAATTTAAATTATCGACGTCTGTTGTCTTTCCGATTATATTGGACGTCATACCCGTTAAGGTTATGTCCATTTGAAAATATAACTCTAATGCGCAGGCGTATCATATGAATTACTCCGAAATTTTGTTTGGTTGTGTCATACAGGTTGTAGAGAAAATCTTCAATATTTTTTCATGCAAATTTTCAGCATAATTATGACCATAATTTTCGGAGTAATTCTCTTGTGTGTAAAACGGCTCTTATTCCATATGTGTCACAAAATATCTTAAAAATTCGAGATGTGAAAGCTGTACCTCTATCGCTTATAATTCTTGAAGGTGCCCCAAATAAATAAATTAGGTCGGTTAAGGCCTTAATAACGTGCTTACTTTTTTATTGTGTACCGGCTCTATTATTGTAAATTTGGTAAATGCGTCAACAATTACAAAAATATACTTATTTTTCCTTTTGCTTGTCACAAATGGTCCAACATGATCTACGTCTACGTGTACAGTATGGAGGGGAATTGGATGTTTTTCTATTGGATTTAATTTGCATTGTCGTTTTGAGGAGCATTTCTTGTAGTACGTACAATTTAGGAAAGCGTTAACATATTTCGTTACAAGTTTTCTCTTTTTCGCAAACCAGTAGTTTCTTTTGATCCGTTGCAAAACTTTTTTTACTCCAAGGTGTCCACAATCGTCGTGACATAAACGACAAATTTATATACGTGCTGCTCGTGGGACAACCCATGCCTTGGTTCCATCGTCTAATTTCCTATACAATTTATCATTTTTCAATTCGTATTGATCAAAATATAACTTTGTCTCATTATTCCTTACTTTACTCGTTAGTATATTTCGGATTCTACAAATCTGTTCATCCTATAATTGTGCTGCAGTAATCCAGTCCGCTTCCGTCAAATGTTTTTCGAATACTTCTAGCTCAATGTCGGTGATTGCTATAGGGTTTCCACTGAGGGCGTCGACATGAATAATTTTTTTTACCGGCTCTATACTCAATTTCAAAAGAATATTCTTGAATCTCCAGCCACCATCTTCCAATGCGAGGAATTAAATATTTTTGACGGGGTCGTCCGCAATCAGTGATTATTTTGACATTTATCCCCAGCAAATACACTCGATAATATTTTAGAGCGTAAACTACAGCCATAGTATCGAGTTCGTAAGAGTGATATTGTCGTTGATCACATGTTGTTTGTTTGCTAAAATAGGAAACGACATGTGATTTACCTTCAGAGTCAAATTGAAGTAACATTGCTCCTAGGCCAATAGAGCTTGCGTCCGTATGAAGTTCTGTCCTTAATTTGGGGTTATATATTGCAATAATCGGGCGTGATGTTAACGCCTGTTGAATTTGATGAAACGCCTCTTTTTGTGGTGCATCCCTGGTCCAAATCATGCAACAGAGAGATGCAATCCTTATCAGCCTCCAAAATCGCACCTATCTTTATATTATTCAGATCCAAGCCGTTGTCGCAAACTTCAATTAAATTTACAAATAGGTTTTCGGTGGGAGGCAACCTATATAAAATTAATCGGTTCTCACGTTTAGTCATAACCACGTGTTCTTGGTTAATAAAATCTCTTCCGACCAATAAATCGTGTTCAAGTATTTGTCCGGAACAATTATTGCATTCACTACTTCCGAAACTCCCTGTATACTAGCGGTGATCTTGCAAAACGATGTGCTGTTCAAAAAGATGCCCATAAAACTATATAGGGTTAAATCTTTTGAATCCGTATGAAGAAGCCCAAGTTTTTTAACGAGCGATTCTTTTATAAGTGTATAACTGCCAGAGTCTATTAAACAGTTTGTCTTCTTTCCGCAAATTCGGGCATTTTGCAAAAAAATATTACACACTTCTTAATACTTCAACTTGTTGCACTTCTTTACGCGGAAAAGGGCACTTTTCTTTAATATGTCCCAATATTTTACAATTGGTACATTCGACGCGTGGCTTTCTGCAGTTAAATGAAATATGGCCCGGAATACCCCAATTAAAACATGTTGGGCGCGTACCTGAAGGCTTATTAACTTCCCTTTTATTAAGATTGCCATAACCAGATCTGGAAGACGTTGACGGTTGAAATTTTTCACTATTAAGATGAAAACTTTTTCTTTCTTGAGGCATTTCGCCTACAGTGTTTAAATAAGCATATAAAGCGTTTGCATCCGTATGTTGTGCAGCCCTGACCGTTCTTGCTATGTTTTCATCCCTGATACCACCAATCACTGCATCAATCAAATGTGGATCAGGTATGTGTATATTAAGTGCTCTCAATTTAGACAGTTTTTTAAAACAATAATCTAGTAAATTTTGCTCCGGTGTTGCTTCGTAGTTAGCGGCATCCTTAAATAATTTAGAAAATGGAACCGACTTACGGCTCATGCTGGCTCATTGATTTTTTTATTACATCACAACTGGAGTCATACTCCACATTTTCGTCTTACCACTGACGAGTATTGCCTCGTAATATTCCAGAAATCAATCGTAAGATGGTGTCATCATCCCAATGATAACGTTCTGCCAAACGGTCAACTTTATCCAACCACTAACTTATCCACAATCACATCGTCCCGATTAGGTCAAACGTAGGCACTAAGGCCTCTTGTGCAAGCTTGCACGGGGCACGGCAAAGGTGTCCGTCGAATGAATCCAAGTGAGCTCAGTTGAGACTTTTCTGCGGCAAACTATAGAAGTCCTCGCCATGAATCCTAAGAAAAAGATTGTGCTTGCGTACTATGTGTATAGAAGACTGAAAAAACAAGAGAGAAGAAAAAGAAGGTTTTGGATACACCCGATCTTGAAAAAACGGGGAGAATTAGGCGCATTTCATACGCTTGTCAAGAATCAATTGAGGGAGGATGAAGCCAAGTTTTACAATTATTTCAGAATGCAGAAAACAACTTTCGATAAACTGCTGCAAAAATTATCACAGAAATTAAAGCACCAAGATACCAATATGCGACAAAGCATACCTCCCGCAGAAAGATTGGCTGTAACGTTGAGGTAAGTAAAAAATCAAACTAAATACTTTTACTTAAATTTATGTATTAATACAAAGCCTTGTATCTCAAACGAACTTGTACTATGAATGATTATAAGTTACGTAAAAAAACTAAGTTGAAGCTAAAGATGCTCCCGAAATGCAGAGCTAAAATCGAATTCTTCAGTACTGGCTTGAGAATTTGCAGAGGTACTTTCTGTATTCACACTTTGAGCAGATGCTTGCGATTCTGGTCGGTTGGGGATGGGCTCTAAACCAGAGCTATGTCCAAAATCGTATTCCTGGCCATTGATTCCAAAGCCTGATCGAGCAGCTGTGGAATGCCCATACACTGAAAACTGTGAATTCGCAGGTGTTGTGCCGCTTTGATATCCTTGCTGGCCATGATCCCATTGGTTTCTAGGTGCTGCTATATATCGGTTATTTTCTCTTTCTTGTATGCTTTTAATTATTGAAATGACTTGAAACTGGAAGTCTATCATGTTTTCATCAGTAAACTTGTCAACT